GGTTATTTTTCTAAGCGAGGTACATCTTTAAACACTCAAATCTCACAAAACAGCTATGCATGTAACAATTCATTTCCTTTGATTGGATGGTTAAATCATCCCAGTTCAGTGTCCTCAATATCAATAATAATCAATCATATTGCATATATTGACATGACTGCTACAGCCTTATTGAAACATTTATTAGTAAAACTTGACTATAAAATTTATGGTACATATAAATTTTAAAATATTCATCTAGCACGGTATAAAGAAATTGTAAGAAAAAAAAAACAACTCCAAAAACGATAAAAGGGACCATTCTGAAAGTATACTCTTTAAAATAAAAAGATTTCTCAATTAATGAATTATGAAGTATCAATCATTAAAAAGTATAGCCGAATTGAGAATTTCCTCCTCCTTTGTTGGAGGCAGTTAAAAATATACACGGTACAAAATGTACAAGCAAACACCATAAAATTTTTTTGACTATTTATTTATTTATTGCTTTACATTGTTTAATATAATTTTCACATGTGCCGTTATGACGATTAAAGTGTGATTCCACCTGTCCCAATGTGTTGGCATCAGTGAAGATTAAAGGATGAGTATAAAATCAGGTCTGTTTACCCATGGTTGCTCATAATAGGGTCAATAATACCAATTACTAATAATCCCCTTCCCCTACAAACAAAATTGTAATGTATAAGTAAGAGTTATTATTCTGGTAAAGTTACATTATGGTTGTAGTTATATATTACGGTCATTTACATAGGTATCAATCGATCTATTTCTCAATTCTCTTTACTGTACGGACTACCGTGTGCCAATGTATACAATTTTTTTAAACGTAGTAGTTTAATAATTCTATATATTTCTTTGTTGATGTTGGTATGACATATCGGCGTAATATCGTACGATTATATCCATATCTCAGTTATCTGACTACCGGAATAATAATATATGATTTTAGAATTTTATGTATACATTGTAAAATGTACAAAGTGGTTCATGAAAACATGGTCGCATGTTTTCATTTTATTGATTTTCACCCAAATTTATTCATCTAGTAATCTTATAAACGCGAAGTTTATAACGTTCGTTGAATAGATGGATGTTTGTTATTTTTCACGCAAAACCTGCTGAGCAGATTTAAATGAAACACAATACTTTTCATCCGAATTTAATACCCCGCGATATGCAGTTAGTTTATATATGGCCTTACTAGTTGTACCCGCGATTTCACCCGTGTGAAATTTATAGTCTCTGTGTTATTCTGATATATAAAGCTATATTATTGTACAGTTTCATCAAAATCCGTATAGTAGTTTTAGCTTAAAAGAGTAAGAAACATCCATCCATACTCATAAACATTCTCGTTTATAATATAGTAGGATAAAATCCATAATTTACATACATTTATTCATATTAACACTGGAGTATATTATTCATCACACGCATCGTGTAGAAATTAATTATTATGCATGACATTAATTTTTCTTTTTCTATTTCACTAACAGTACTAAAAGGGTGGGTGCGGCGCCACTGTTCTCGTTTCAGCGCAAACATTCTACACTTAACTAATGCATGCTGATTCAGCAATCACCGCCGTGTACTAACAGCAAGTTGCTATGAATCCCACAGATAAACGCTTCTATCAGCTGGTGAGTATTTATTATTTTAAGCATGCTCTTTTATTTAAAAATTATAGCTCATTCAAGAAATCCTTTTACCTTATGTTAGGGACCAAGCAAAACTACATTTAAATAATTTTAATAAAGAAGGGCTGTAAAGAACATGCTTTACGTACTATATGTTTCTTAAATTAAAGAGAATCATGGAAGATCAGTGTAAGTGGCAAGAGTTCCATCGACGAGAGCGTCACACAAGTCCAACGAAATTATGTACTTATTTTGTGGATAATTTCAATACATAAAAATTCTAAAAATTGGTAATTACCAAATCATTTTGTAAAAATTAGGCTGCGTGGTTGCTTCAGTATCACTTATTTCAGCTGCCATGTAGCTTGATTTGTAAGACGTGTTTTGGTTTGATTTGGAGGCATAACATTTTAGTTCTGCGGAATAGGCGTCGACGGTTGGCCGTCAGCTTCTATGTCATTCCAATCACATAAAAAGACTTTGTTTTGATCTTTGCTTATGTGTCGTTCCCCTTAAATGCGTAAGACAAGACGAAAACACCTCAAGACGATTAAAAACGATATTTTAATACTTTTACAAAAAAATATCATTGATATTAAATCTGTTTAAAGTCCATCTCGCACTTTACCGACATTTTAATGTTATAACACCTCGACTCAGATGTTTTTATACGCCTCAGTCAGTGGCCTTGCACATTAATGTGTTGATGTATGCTGGTTTTACTCGCTAACGTTACTTATATAATAATTGATGCATAAAGTGCATGCGTCTTATATGTGCTGTATGCATTAGGTATATGATTGTTTTAAATATTTGTCTTTTCTCGAAATTTCTAATTGTATGACGGTTTTAAAAGAAATCGACGTAAAACTGTCCTCAACATTTTTGCAACGAGTGTAGTATTTTATAAGAATATATAATTACATATGTATATTATACAAACTATTCATGTTATGTTTTATACAATTTTATTTGTATATAAAATTGAAACAAATTATTTAAAATTCAATTTTTGCATGGAAAGAGCAAAATGTTTTCTAATTTGTCTATTATTTCATTTATATTACTAAAAAAAATAGATATAATAGTTTAATTGAAATGAAAATATCTATTAAAAAATCTCATTTTTACACAATTACTTCGTATAATAACCACTATAATTCTTTTTCCAGTCGGTACTGTTTTATCTCTGCGTTTTCCTATGTAAACGTTCGAATTCACTGGGATCACATGTACCTAACCTACACACTGCTTAACATGCGCGTTATGTTTTGCCGAACAAAATGAAAATATTCTTTCTATTCCAAGCTGCCGCTTCAATCATCTTTTTTATTAATATATATTATTATTAAATATTGAAGTCGTAGGTATTAAAAACTCCTAGTATTTCAAAAGATAAAGTCTTCCTAACTCGTCCCATTTTCTTCTAGTAGGTATATAACAGCTCATGAATAAATCATCATTTTGGTCTTACTTATGACCTTATTGAAGTCCTCAAGCACGAGAAGTGACGACAGCTACGAATAAACATTCTAATGTTATAGATTTATCTCTTCTGTTTTACATTCGTGTATATATATATAGAATATAAAGCAGGATACTATAATAGCGTTGTATGTACATACAAACACACTATTATGTGAATATCTGTTATGATGAATGTTAGCTATTGTTAACACACTATTGTTGGTAAAAGTAGACGTTACGTTATAATGAGTCGTTTTATTCTTTTTTAATTTTGGCATTGAGGTATTAATATTATCTATATATTAATACTTGAAGCTAAAACTTTGTACCTCTTTTTACGAAAATTGCGCGGTATATGAAATTTCGCATATATATTATAGTTTATTATTATATACAACTAGCTGTCCCGGAAAATGTTGTTTTATATATTAATAACGCCATATAAATTAATAACGCTATAAAAAAATAGGGGTTGGTGATAGAAGGGAGAAAATTTAGGGTTCTATGTATTTTTTAATGACACATAATAAAAAAAATATAAATAAAAGATATTGACCAAAAAATAATATTATTGGTAGACAACCCTTATCACTTAGGGGTATGAAAAATATGTAGTAGCCGATTCTCAGACCTACTGAATATGCATATAAAATTACATAAAATCAGTCAAGCCGTTTCAGAGGAGTAACTAATATTGTGACACGAGAATTTTATATATAAGATTTATTACGGAATGCTTACGTTTTTTTTTAATTATTCATAAAAAAACAACAATGGCTTGTGCAACTGCCAATGCTTTGACAACAGGACGTAGTAATGTTCAAATTTATAATTTTAATTAATTATTGAAGAATTTGGACAACTAGGCGACCTAGGAGTTTATGTTATTGCTTAATTATTCATAAAAATGGCTAACGTCTAATAAATTTACAACCGTGATAAAAAGTATGTGAGTAGGATTGTCAAACAAGTTGACGGTCACCTGATGGTAAGTGGGAAGTCTCAAAACGGGATCGACTGAGTCCTTAAAGAAATTGAGTATAATCATTAACGTTACATACAAGAAAAATATAAATCACAAACACACTCTATCTTTAAAGTGCAGATGGTTTTAGAATGTGCAACTACTATAAACAGGGTACAGTATCAAATGACAGTATTTTGCGAAACTCACTACTTCCGCCATAATAATATAAATAATGTGTCATATTACTATCACGAGTATGAGAATTATGACACATGGTTAATTTACTGAATAATCATTAGTCAGATGGTACTCAAGAAACTTTGGAGTATCATGGGATTTAAATTTAATTTTGGATATCAGATAAAGTATTATTATTATTATCTATTCTCGTAATCAACGATTTTGTATGATTCGCTGTAATTTATTACTTAAGGCGATAAAAATTTATGGCTATTTTTGTAAGCTACAACCGTACTGTGAATAAACGACGCTCTGATACTATGAATACATACATTGTAGATTATTTGTGTTGGGGTTTCTTTTACTATTAATGTTTTACTGGAAAATCGTACGTTTCACCGTACACATTCGTTTCATTATTATATGAATTATCAAAACAAAACCAATTTTATTATTTTAATAATATAATTCGGAAAAATATTACATAGATACAATTTTTATTTTAATATTGAAGCATTAGCAAAATAATATAGTTAATTTTTTATTATCAAATTCGAAGCTAATTCAATAATAGAAGGTTAGCATAAATACAAAAATAATTATTTATTAATAACCTATTACATAACCTTAATACTTATTACATAAAAATCTATTTTTATGTAGTGGTGACGTTGTGTCGCTTAGATTTTTTAAAATTTAATGCAATAGCAGGTTCGTGTACTATATAATGTATAATGTGCCCACAGACGCTAGCCATCCAAAAGGCTATCAACGCCAACGAGACCCCGGTGAAGGAAAAACATGTCAGAAGCACCCTTATTGGGACATTCCAAGAGCAAAGCGCCGCCACATACTGGGTATGCTTATAATTATTATTTCAATGCACATATTATATTCTACTCGAGGAGTAATTTCTCTATATAATAGTAAAATCTAAAAAACCTTCGCGTAGTTTAGAAAGAAAAAGCAGAGAAATTAGAGACTATTTTAATGTTATTGGCTGCAGTTTGCCTTTACAGAAAGTGCAGAAGGTATTCGACACCCTAGGAAGGACTTATGGAGCAGCTAAAGGCCGACTCCTGGCTGACGGATATGACTTTAGTCTGATGGAAAGCTAGGGGTTCAATCCTCGGCTCAGGCCTCGTAAATTTTATCCCCGTTTGAATTTGACGAGGAATCGATAGGAGGGAAAACCTTAGCTTCATATACATTAAAAGCTTCCTTTATTGCATATATTAATAGGTTACTTCTTATGAATTTTAGATGGTGGCTCTCCGTTTGCCTCTCCAAGATAACCGAATCGTGGCATGGAAATTTTGTCACGTGACGCACAAATTGCTACGCGAGGGGCATCCAGCTTGCCTCGATGACTCCCAGCGGCATATAGGCATGATAGACAATCTCGGCAAGCTATGGGTGAGTATATAAGAATATATAAGTATTGCACCAATGGGTAGAAGAATATATAGAAGTATAAATTATAGAGTACAGAAGCATGTACTTTAATTCAGAGCAGAGCGGTTGTCACATGACCACGTAATGTCCGTGTATATTAATTGACATCTTTAATCAGTTCGAACGTCAGTATAATTAGAATTCAAGTTACAATAATGCATAAATCTACTTTGGTCGTACAAGGTACAAGGTCGAACAATGTTCTATATGCTTAAACCGTTAGGAACTAGGAAGACAAACTTCTTAGCATTCCATCGATTCACCGTGCCGGATCTAATGTGTGGACATAGGATAACTCCGAGGAGTTCCTGGGACTTGTGACCCCGGTATAGGTTTAAGGGGCCGACGTACTTCAACACTTACTTTTACTGCTTGTGTTTCTCCCTCGGCCTAGCCAAAGTTTTTATTATATGGTCTTAAGGTATATTTGTTTGCCATGGTATAGTGAACTCTATCTGTATTAAATATAAGAGTAAGAGGGCAATAAATTGATTTTCCGTTTTCCACAGTTTTTTCTAATGAATTCTTACCACCATCACTTCATCGCTTTTTAAGTGATTTGTTCCATTCTTAGGTACATCTTCGAGAGGGTTACGGTAAGCTGGTCCACCTATACTGCAGCTTGTTGATGTGCAAGCTAAAATTCCATGCGCGCAATCCACGCTTTCCAGGCAACATGCAGCTTACGGCCGATGAGCTGGATGCAATAGCTGAAAACGATGTTAACAACTAGTAAGTTAAAAGTTTATAGTACTTTTCTTTACAGTATGACTAGAGAGACTATAAAGTTGCGTCGTTTCCTCTGCCTTACCTAATTCTGTTGCTAAGTAGATAGCTTTGTAAGTTGTGTACCTGTATGAGAGGTATTACAGTCCATGTAAGTGTAATAACTTAGTACTCAGTAAAAGATTCAGCATGAGCATACTGCTATGTATCTATACAAATAAATAAAACTAAAGGGTAAGTTATGTACTTACATATACATTTAGTGAAAATCTGTAAATTTGAAATTACAAAGGGTATTTACATAAAAAAAAGTCTATGTGTTTGTCTGTCTGTCTATTTGTTCTTGCTAATCTCTGAAACGGTTGGACTGATTTTGACGGGACTTTCACTCACAGATAGCCAACGTTATAAAGAGTAACTTTTTGATTTATTTTAATTAAAAAAAGTTAAAATTCACGTTCAAGTCGCGGGAAACAGCTTGTTAAAATAATAAAAATGTTTCATTACAGTTTCCAAATATGTGTGGAGTTGTTCGACTATATGGATGAAATTCTCGCACTTCAGGCTGCCGGTTCGTATTTATTCTTTATTAGTCATATACACTAATGACTATTAAAAACACTTAAGGTTTATTTAATTACAGTATTTATTATAATTATAATAATAAGATTTAAAAAAATCAAAAGGTAAAATTTTAATTGTACAGTATTTTTTTGTGTTTTGTTAGCTTACGGAACACTCAAATAATAATAACTGCACTGCTTAATGGAAAATAATTTAATTCTTCAGAATTCTCCAATATTTTCTTTATGAAATTATTATTGCATTAAATATTTAAGAATTATGAGTTTTTATCTTAATTTAGAAATTAGAATAAATTAAATATAAACAATTACTTAGTTTTACTGTCGCCTATATACATAAACAACAGCACATACAAAACCGTCCTCCGGAATGCGATGTTGTTATGTCCCATACCTACTAACACAGCACAAACAAAAGTAGAATGTTCTGTGCCCTATAATTACACTGTATTTTCTAAAAGTTTTATTATTAAACGAAAATAAAATATGATTAAATTTAATAATTATTTTCAGTATTCGATAGCCTGGGCAACGCTCGCGCTAACTCAATGACGGCGAGCGGTCAGTGTCGACTGGCGGCACTAATACCATGCGCTCAGGACTCATCGCAGATATACGACTGCAATGTTCGCCTGCTCTTCAAATTGCACGCCGCATTGCCCGATGACACGCTTGGTGGCCATAGAACAAGGTGCTTTTTCTCTATAAATTCATAAACATTATATTATTCATTTCATTAATTGCACACTGTCACAAATGGAACTTTCCAGAAAATACAGTTTATCTTTGCCACTTGTCACCAGAGGGTATTACTAATAATTAAGGTGACAAACAGATGTTACAAATTTACACCAAATTTTCAACAATAATATATAATGTCATTTATTATATATTTTACATATATAGCACATCACATACAGCGAGCTTTAGATGATATAAACAAAATAACACTGAGATAAAATTGTGCGGATTAAAAAATCGAAAATTAATCGTATATTAGTAATGGTAGGGCCGGTGTACCAATCTACATTTCAGGATTCTATTCAGTACATCTGAACTTAATTCGATTAGAGTATTTTTTATAATGGATGAAGTGAAATTCGCGAATAAAAAATATTATATATTTCAGATTTCGACAGCAGTTCAAAAAGTTGAGCTCATTTTACAAGCACGCGAGCAGTCTGCAGTACTACAGAAATTTACTGACGTTACCAGTGCTCCCGTCTGACCCGCCTAACTTCTTAGTACAAGTTAGAATCATCTATATGTATTTTATACACTAAAAATGATAAGTAAAGTTCATTCATCGTTCATTCATCATCATTTGCAAAAATAGTGCACACACAGAATTGTGCAGTCTCATACTAAGCACAATATGTGGCGTCGGTACTAGATAAACTTGACAAAATATGAATACATGAATTAAAAAACGAGTATGTACTGTATTATTAATTTTTTTCGGACTATTCTAATGGCCGCAGTTGGCTTTTACAGCTTTACCGGACGAAACGGGGCGAATGCAGATAGTACTTACACAACAAACTCGTGAAAAGACTTATGGAGCGGGTGAAGGCCAACTCCCGCCTATCAGATACGACTTTAGTCATTCGATCTATTGTTAACTAATGTAATTCAATTATATAATATTAATAGCTTTTTTTTATTTTCCAGAGTGATTTCGGTACATATGTGGCCCCGGTGGTTTCAATACCAGAGCCAGCGGCAGATGAAGTGGACGCAGTTGGCGCACTCATCGACACTACAGACCTCATGAGTCAGGTATCACATTTGTCACTTTGTAATGGAGTTTATTGCTGAATATTATTTTGGTGTATACATTATGTTGACAAAAAAGTCATACTACATTTCTAAATTAGAAACCAATTTTGTGTTTAGTGTTTGTGCTATATTTGTAATCATGCTAATAAGCTAACTACTATTTCTATGGCATGGAATGTGAAATTTATGTTTTAGTAGAAAAAAAAAATTCATAGCTCTGACAATATTCTTTGATGACAAAGATTATTAGGACTAATAAACGTTCTCAGTAATTACATATTAATAAGGATTAGGCATCGTATCGGTTTCTATGTTGATTGTCGGTTGCCTAATCCTAGTAAATATGTAGTTGGTTAGAACAACGTTTATTTAAAAGAGCAAGTTTCTTACTCTTTCTTTTTGTTATAAGAATTACTGGTAGAACCAAAAAACGTGACAATTCTAAAATTATTTACATGACTATTCAAAAGTGCTTATATTACAGTAAGTATGTTTGAATAACGATTATTTCTATTCTATATTACCTAGTAGATATTTATTGGTTGATATATTCATAGTCCTGTATTCAATTGGCGCGTAATGTTACGACAACACTACTAATATAACGATAGGTTGTATATTTGAATACATTAATTTGACGTTGTTTATGTAATTTAATGTTTTTACCACAGGCAACAACTCCAGACCAATTAGATGCTTTCGAAACCCGCGCGTCACCGCAACCCGACCCGGTTGTGGAGCGCGACAAACTGATCGAACATCTCCAGAATGAACTCAAGCGGCTCAGGTTAGCTAGTTTTATAGAAACACAACTCAGATTAATATGTCATAGACTGATATGTCTATGATCTATGTCCAAATTAGTTATTTTGAGATGTAAAACCCTTTTGTTTGGTAATCGAACTGCCAGATGTTAATTATCAATTATATCAACAGGTCAGAGAGAACGCAACTGGTACATGATAGGAATACAATGCTGAGTTCTATGCGAGAACACTGCACTAAGTTAGAGTCACAACTTCACACAACTCAGGTAATATTACTAGTTTTGAAACTGTTTATAGTTACTTAAGTTTCATATTCCATGAATTAGATGATTTATTCATACTTTAATTTTTTACTAGTTGAGATTGCATTTTTTACCTTATATATTAATATGATGATGATAACGGTAACGTTTATTTATACAGAATGAGCTGGAAGGAGAAAAGCAGAAAGCCGAAATATTATCGGTTCAAACACCTGAAATAAAGCGTAAGTATCTGGCATCAATAAATTAACTTGTTACCAGTGTTATCTAAGAATTTATTTGAACATTTTTTTATAGAGAAGCTTGCTGAAACTGAAGAGAAAGCGAAAGTCACAGATGAAAAATTCCAAAAGTTAAAAGGGGCATATACCCAATTACGAGAGGAACACATAACGCTAATCAGACAGGTGCTTTTTTTATTATGTTAATAATAATCCTAAAGCCCAATTTACACTCAGCCAGAGTTGGCAGGGAAGTGAGCAGCACGAGAGTTTAAACACGGTACTTTCCATGTCATTGGCGCTGCCACTCGCGCTGAATGTAAACGTAGCATAATAATAATATTGTGAAAGTATAAGTAATTATTTTATATGTACCTTATCATTTTTTTTATGTTCAGAAAGCAGAAGTCGATAAACTAGCAACTAGTTTAAGAGCAGCGGCAACACAACATGAAAGCGCTAAAACGGCGTTACAGCAACAGCTGAATGATAGGATAAAGTAAGTAATATGTAGAAATATAGTTTCAATATATCTAATTATAATAAACATTTACTCAATCATATATTTGATTTATTTTATTAAATAAAATATACATTGACACATTGTTTATAAATACGTTTGATTCTGATTTAATATAAAATTTTCTATTCATAGGGATGTTGAGTTACTGCAACAAAGTTCTTCTTCAAGTGAGGAAATCGAAGCATATAAGCTAGAAATTGCCAATCTTCGTGCTGAAATAGAAATGTCGCGACAAAAAGAGATTGAACTAGAGACATTACGAGCTTCAATGGAGGCCTTAGAAATAGAACACAAGACTGCCACTGCAGAGCAATTAGAAAAAATTACAACGACTGCTAACGATTTGAGAGAGACAAAAGAAACATTAGAAGCAATAAAACGTGAGAAAGAAGAGAGAGAGACTGAGTTGCTCAGAGTTAAAGAAGAGTTAGTCGGACTTAAAGAAAAAAGTGGAGATGAGTATAAAAAGGTTTTTGATGAAAAAGAAGCAGCGGTAAAACAAGTAGCAGAGTTAACTCGGCAACATCTACAAGAAAAGGAGGTTAGTAAATACTCAGTAGGTTTTAAATGTGTAAATATTAGTAATGGGCAAATTAACAAAGCTATTTGTATGGCATGTTATACATATTTAGTCTTTTAAATATTCGTTGTAATTAATATAGTGTATTAACTCAAGTAATTTATTTAGTAGTGATTTTTCCTTATCTTAGTTAATTTGGATAATTCATGATCATGTAGTTTTTAACCCATTAGGAACAGATGCTTTGCATGAACAAATTGCATGAAGAAATAGAATCATTGCAACAGAAGTGTATAGAATCCGACACAAAATTCGCCCTGAAATGTAATGAATTAAATGAAGAAATTAATATTAATAAAAAGAACTTTGACGATATTATAAATGCAAAGGATATCGAAATTAAAGATTCCCTAGAGCGACTTGAACAAATGGAAACGCAACTAAAGAATTTGAAATCAGACAATGAAGATAGAATTATTGAAGAGACTACTAAAGTTGAAAACCTTCAAGAACAAATTACTCACCTTACACAAAATCGCGATACGAATATTGTATTACTGAAAGATATTGAAACAGAGAAAAATAGTTTACAATCGAATTTAGATAAAGCTATCAAAGAACTGAATATATTACAGGAATCGATTAATGAGAAAACTACATTAGTACAGAATTTAGAAATAGAATTAGCGGAGACAGAAACTAATAATCAAATAGCATATGAACAATTAGAAAACAGGAAAAACGAAGAAATTGCTTTGCTTCAAGAACGATACAAATCAGAAGTAGCAGATAAACATAGTGAAATTACTGAATTAAGAAAATTACTTCAAGAAAACACAGAAATAGGAAATGAACAGAAAACAAAAAGCGAGTATTTATTGAATACAATTACAGAGCTAGAGTCCAAAATTACGGTCCAGAATAATGAAATTGAACAACTGTCTTTAACATTGAAAGATACTTCTGCTACGCTAGATAAACAAAATAATAATTTTATTATTAAAGAAAATGAATATAATAATGAAATAACAGTGTTAAAAGATAAACTCCAAAATGTTATCGACACCAAAGATGAATTGATCGACAGTTTAAAAACAATGATATCAAATAAAGATGAAGAAGTTGTATCTCTTAATGTTGAAGTGAAAAATCTTACAGATGAAGTATTACAACTTAAAGATGAACTGCAGGAAGCCCAAGCAGAGTTGGAGATAGGAAAAAATGAACTGCTCACCTTAGAAGAAGAACATCAAAATATATCTGAGCGAAATGATAATAATCTACTATTAAAAAATCAGGAACTCAGAACGTTGCATGATGAAATTGGAAAACTAAATAAGGACAAATCCGAATTAATAACTGAAAAAGAGAAATTGATCAATGAATTCACTATAGAAAAACAGGTTGGTTCCTTTATTTTAGTGTTCTATGATTCTATTAAAAACAGTAATTATATGTTATTAATAATAATAATTTTTGGTAGGTTTACATTAACAATATAAAGGAATTGGACGACACTCTTAAAAATTTGCAAGTTGATTGTGAAACCATCAGATCTGACAAAGAAGTAGTGTCAAATGAACTGAAGGCTGAAATAAATAGATTAACAATAGAAAATGAGCAAGTAAAAAAAGGTAAACAAGAAGAAATAGATGTATTGACAGAAAAATTGGAAGAACAAGAAAAGATTCTAAGAAAAGATATATTTGATAAGGATCGCACTATAAACGAAGTAAACGACACCTTAGAGAAGTTAAAGTCTGAACTACAAAACTTAAATGAGTTAAAAATAAAAGAAAAAGAAGATTTCGAAAGTATTATATCTGAAAAAGACAGAGAAAGTCAGGTTAGGATTCAACTAATGTTGTGTGTTTAGAGAAAGTGTAATGTTTTGTGATGTTGGTTTTTCTACAGTAATTTTCTCATTGTCAGTTCCATTTATCATCTTGTTTGAGGTATTGGGAATATATTGCATTCTATTGTATACTCATTATTAATTTACCTTAACTCATCATATACTTAACTGACTTATTAAAGAATGGAATAGATCTATTAACAACGAGTTTGCTGATTGAGTCTTAAAGTAATTGTATAAATCTGAGACAGTAATGTAAAATATTAGATGTATTTAAATTACGTAAAAAAAATGTTTGCCGTATGGAATTTCTCGTAAATTTAATATAAAGTTATTTTATGTAATTTGATCGCTGCAAAATGTCACACTCATTGATAAATAGGCCAATTCCTTTCCGCAATATACATTCTACTGCTATTCTTTCTGCCTTGTTTCTAAGTTGGTATAATAGTTTTCTATAATAATAATAAATCTTAAATTGTTGTCTACATTTAAGTGAGCCTTAAATGGATAAGTAGATAAAAATATAAATAGATATTAAAGTTACTCCTTTGTATATTATTCTAAAGAGCTTAGTACTAGGTATCCTTTTTGGTGGATTCTATACACAATTGAATTGATTTTTCTGTTGGTTTTCACTTTAGCAAGTGTGTGCCTTACATGTATTATAAGCGCATGCCTATCAATTTTCTAATTGCATGTTTTATTTTTATTATCTTCTCTATGACTACGCCTTCGCTCTGCACCTCTACAATCCTCCGCAACTCCGCAATGCTCTGCAACTCACAATATACTGCATGTTCTGACTTCGTTGGATTTCTCGACTCTACAATTTGGCTTTACGTTAAGTATATTATTTTCTTTTTAAATTGTGCTCGTGTAGATGTTGGAAGTGCGACTACAGCACTCAGACACTAAGCGTTTGAATGTAGAATCTGAATTACAGGATCTGTTGCAACATAATACAGTGCTTGAAGCTGACCTCACGGCAGTTAAGATGCAGTTAGAAGAAGCGCGAAAAGAATTGGAGACACGTAAGCATAATTTATACATAAAACGCAACGGTAAAAAACAATGTGATATCACACAATTATGGTAATAATAATATCTTTATATTGATTTTAAACCAATTTTATTTTTATTTAATTAGCCACGTTATTATTTTGAAAGGATGAAATTTTCCCCTTTCTGTTAACTGATAAATCTGTTTAGTACATGCTTTTAGTTGCAATAATAACACATTAGTTTATACGATCAGTGTATTTTTTGTGCCCATTGCCCATTTAATGGTAAACAGTAGCCGTTGCCAATGCTAACCTGAAAATCAACTTTTCTCGAAAGAAAAACGTTTTTCAAGAATTACTTTTAAGTATTATGATGTCTTAAAGGTTGGCGTTTAAACCCTTAAGAAACCATAATATACCTCTTGAAAAACACCATGCTGCAGTCTTTCGACAAAAACTCTGTAGGTAATTCAATCCAAAATCTAAGTGTACGCGGAAAGAAGTTCCTCTGAACCTGTACTGTGCGAGACCATTTAGTTCCAGCTAATAGGTGTCATTGAGAGTATCGAATCTGATTATTCCTATATTTTAGTTTTTACGTTATTTTATAGAGAAATCAAAGGTAGTGCAGTGTGCTGGGGAGGCGGCACTACAGGTCACACAAGAGGCACTAGCAGCGCTCGAAAGAAGCAACCCACAAGAAACCAACCGCACGGCGGCTGATGTAGCGGCAAAGGCGCTCGATGAGCTAGCAAAACATTCCGCAGTAAGTTAATTCATTCATAATTTAAGAGCATCGCTGTTTTCGGTGGAGATTCTTCTCACGATCTTCCATGATACTCTACACGTTGATACGTCACGACTCCAATTCTATCTTTAATTTGCTTAATGTAGCTGTGTCTCAGTCTTCCTCTCAATCTCTTTCCTTCTATTTTTCCCTCAGTAAGTACACAGAAGTATAGATGATATAAAACATTATCACTTTGTCGTGGTAATTAATAATTTTAAACATATTTACTCACTACCTGTGCCAGCGTAGTCGCACCCTTGCTATTCACTTCTAGCATTAATATATGTTTTACAATTTTGTACATCCCCAAAAAAATGTCTTATTTTAAAATCATTAATATAGAAATCGTGTATTCCCTTCCCACACATACATACATCTTGATTCAATGCTCTGCCGATCGTGTAGCATATTTTATAGTATTGTATGTAGACGTTTTCACTTTGTTATTTTATAGAGAGGTTGGTAATAGATATAATAATTATTTTTTAGATGAAGGGTCATGAGGATATAGCCGCACGGTCAGCGATTCTTGCCGCTCATAATACGGCCCAGCTATCTGCATACGTCGCGGAGCTCTGCGGGGCATCCTCTGATATTGCACTCTCTGATAGTAAGTTGTTATTTTCTAACTTAATTTCAATTTTTACTTCTATTGTCCTCTAGCTGATTAGCTCGTTCAACCGACTGAACAACCAAACTTTTCACCTTTATATACTTGTAATATTAGTATAGATATATAAATTGAAAGGGAAGAATTTTATGATATATTACTATATTACTTTATGTTTATAACTTATTATATGATATGGTAACCAAGTCAATGAAGAGATATTTTTTGATGATGTAAATAACCAAAAACATGGTTAATATACTAATAGCGCTTTAGCGCAAAAATAGACGATACAAAATAGCAGCGATAAATATTGTAAATTCTCTTTCAAAGTGAATTTTATGTGATAACAGTGCATTGCACTATTACGATATAGCAACTTACAGACACTTTAGTAAACATATACACAATACACGAAATGGAATTCCTTTTCATGAAATACTTTCTTCATGAAACAACTATACAATTGTGCAATGAGACAACAATATTTAAACATAGAACTACACAATGAGTGCCGAACAATGCTGAGCACGACGAAGCAGTGCCTGGAGGCGGTGTCTAGTGGCTCGGGCCCGGGCTCCGCGAGCGTGGAGGCTCGCAGCCTGGTGCGGCGGCTGGCCGAGGCGGCCGCCAGGGCCGACAGCGCGGCGGCCGGCGCCCGCAGCGTCGACGACGAGCTCGCAGACATGGGCACCGCCATAGAGGACGCCGCCTCGCAGATAGAGGTACTGTCTTTTACTTAACGACATCACATTTCCCCTCCCATCGGCCCCCAATCACATTCCAGTTGAATTCTTTATTAATCACACACGTAAAAATTTACATAAATTAGAAAAATATATTATAAACAAAAATATATGTACGACTTTTAATATTTTTATAGAAATAATATATTTTATAATTTATAATTCAGTTTATATAATAATATCGTGTGGCTTACTTTCAAAATTAGGAACAAGTAAAGAAACTTGCTCTTAATATGTTTACAGGAAATGCTGGCAGCAAGCCGCGCTGGTGATTCCGGCGTTAAACTGGAAGTGAACGGCAAGATACTGGACGCCTGCACTACGCTCATGGGCGCCGTAAAGATACTCGTTCAGGATGCGAGGAAGCTACAGAATGAACTCGGCGACCCCACGACGAGGCAGAAGATGTACAGGAAAAATCCACAGTGGTCTGAGGGTCTCATATCAGCGGCCAAAGCGGTCGTGTTCGCTGCTAAGCTTTTGGTGTACGTATTTACTTTTTTTGTTTTAATTTTCAAATTAACAACTACATATAGGTTATATTATTTATTTAATAATTATTATAAATATATGCTACAACTGTCTTGTAACGTAAAGCGCAAGTTACTGAGCATTTGAGCAAGTAACTAGCCAACAAGATTGCAAGCTAAAGAAATGGTGGTAGACTTACATGACGCGTAGGATTTAAAAATCCTTGGAGAAAGCAGAGCTCTCGTCATATAATTTTAAAGTCAATCTAATGAAAAAATATATATATTGTATTTATACTACTAATTAAACCCCTTCCTTCGCCCCTTGGAGAGTCACGTGTTTAATGCACGGCTTCTAACTTGAATGTCGCAGGTCGTCGGCGGACGAGGCGGTGGGTGCCGGCAAGTCGGGGCGCGTGGAGAGCGTGTCGGCGGCGGCGCACGAGGTGGCCGGCAGCACCGCGCAGCTGGTGGCCGCCTCGCGCGCGCGCGCCCCGCCCGCCGCGCCCGCGCTGGCCCGCCTCGGCGCCGCCTCGCGCTCCGTGGCCGCCGCCGCGGGCGCCGTCGTCGCCGCCGTGCGCGCCGGCGCCGCGCTCGTCAACGAGCAGGGTACGTGACGTAGGACACTCACTGCACGGCCTCGCGCGCGCGCGCCCCGCCCGCCGCGCCCGCGCTGGCCCGCCTCGGCGCCGCCTCGCGCTCCGTGGCCGCCGCCGCGGGCGCCGTCGTCGCCGCCGTGCGCGCCGGCGCCGCGCTCGTCAACGAGCAGGGTACGTGACGTAGGACACTCACTGCACGGCCTCGCGCGCGCGCGCCCCGCCCGCCGCGCCCGCGCTGGCCCGCCTCGGCGCCGCCTCGCGCTCCGTGGCCGCCGCCGCGGGCGCCGTCGTCGCCGCCGTGCGCGCCGGCGCCGCGCTCGTCAACGAGCAGGGTACGTGACGTAGGACACTCACTGCACGGCCTCGCGCGCGCGCGCCCCGCCCGCCGCGCCCGCGCTGGCCCGCCTCGGCGCCGCCTCGCGCTCCGTGGCCGCCGCCGCGGGCGCCGTCGTCGCCGCCGTGCGCGCCGGCGCCGCGCTCGTCAACGAGCAGGGTACGTGACGTAGGACACTCACTGCACGGCCTCGCGCGCGCGCGCCCCGCCCGCCGCGCCCGCGCTGGCCCGCCTCGGCGCCGCCTCGCGCTCCGTGGCCGCCGCCGCGGGCGCCGTCGTCGCCGCCGTGCGCGCCGGCGCCGCGCTCGTCAACGAGCAGGGTACGTGACGTAGGACACTCACTGCACGGCCTCGCGCGCGCGCGCCCCGCCCGCCGCGCCCGCGCTGGCCCGCCTCGGCGCCGCCTCGCGCTCCGTGGCCGCCGCCGCGGGCGCCGTCGTCGCCGCCGTGCGCGCCGGCGCCGCGCTCGTCAACGAGCAGGGTACGTGACGTAGGACACTCACTGCACGGCCTCGCGCGCGCGCCCCCCGCCCGCCGCGCCCGCGCTGGCCCGCCTCGGCGCCGCCTCGCGCTCCGTGGCCGCCGCCGCGGGCGCCGTCGTCGCCGCCGTGCGCGCCGGCGCCGCGCTCGTCAACGAGCAGGGTACGTGACGTAGGACACTCGCTTGTCTGTCTTCTCCGGCGGAGCTGCAACGGAGCCGCCGTAGACGGAGTCCACCGGCTTCGCGCTCGTCAACGAACGGGGCACGTGCTGTTAGACACTCACTTGTTTCCTCAAGGCGGCGGCCGCCATGGAGCCGTGGTAGTCACCGCGTCGTGCGTCTCCGCGTTCGTCAACGACCAGGGTACGGAATGTTGAATACTTACTGCTTTGTATCCTCCGGCGACGACTGCGATACGTGTTTATTAATATCAAGTATAGATGTCACTAATGGAATAACACGCGATGGTCGCTATATAGTAGTAATACTACAATTTACAGTACTATAGTGATGCATCAGAATAAAACAATATTAATTTAAAAAAATATTATGTAAATTGGGCGAAATGTAATGATAAATGTCAAGAAGTGTGATGCAGAGGATATGCGCCGGTCAGCTAATAATATATTATATTTACAGAGGCCCTGGACACGTCGTCGCTGACGCTGACGGCGACCCGCATACTGGAGATGGAGAGCAAGGTGCGGTCGCTGGAACTGGAGACGGCGCTGGAGGCCGAGCGCGCCAAGCTGGCCGCGCTCCGCAAGCGGCACTACCACCTCGCGCAGCTAGAGGAGGTACTCACACACACTCAGTCTCATTATCTCTACACACTATGGTCCATTGATAAACATTGAAAGTTATATCTAGAATGTATTAGAATAGAATGTTTTAATTTTTCATACATGGGAGATATTTTAGCTCTGTGTACTGTGAGTATTAAGTTTATTTTGTAACATACCTATTGGCTAGTAACTTAACTTCTCTTAGTTTGTTTTATGCTACTGGAATGGCAAACAAGTTTACTGTTGACCTTAGAGCAAGTATTAAAGGTTGCAATTACAATACCAAGACAAAGCAAGAAAACAGCGTCGTTTCTGACCGACGACACTCATAATTTATATTTTTAACTGACGCCACCATTGGGAACCATCAAAGTAATCTGTCCCCTGTCTCTACCTGTATTCGATAAACAGATCCAAATGTGGACATGTCAATTGTAGTATTTCGACATCGACATTTGATAATACTTCAGATAGTTGTTAGTAATGGGGATTTGTAATAATAATTTTCATTTTATCCTTGTTTCAGAATGGCGGTATAACCAATGGTAAAGAATAAACAATTGAACATGTACAAAAGGCCGCCATAGGAGACGAGATTTTGTGACGTATCATTCTCAACATGCATTTTTGTACAACGACTAGGTAGCTATAATATTTTGAGTAAGTTTGAGATAGTATGCGAATATTCCATTGAATTTAACAAAAGAGAGAATCAATGTCTTCCCGATTGTGAAGGCTCAATGTAATGCAAATGTAGCGATAGACGTGATAGTGTTAGGTGAATGTGGTCTTAATTAATGGGCAATTATATGTAAGCTAAAAATAGTTCAAGAAAATTCTTATGAAGGTGACTTTACCACTTTTGTGGGAAGTAATAGTTCCAAGTATATACATATAATTATAGAGTTGGTAAGTAAATTGGAAACCAATTATTTGTACAGGTTATAAGTAATATTAATATCGAATAGTTGAGAGGCTCAGACCATTCAGACCGAATGTAAAGCAAATATAGATAACAGATTTAACGATAAGAATATATATTGAGGATGTGTCGAGAAGACGACGTAGAATCAAGCAGGTAGATTCTAACTTAAGTCCAGCGTCATTTATTACCAATGTTGTAACCCAATACAACTATATAAAAATATATAGAACTATATATATAATTATAGAATAACTCCAAATTCAAAACTGCAGTGTAGTAGGGCTGTGATAATCTACAATATAAACAACTAATTATTTTTAGGAAATCCATTAGTTATAAACAACAAAACGATTACCTAAAAATAATTGATTTTAGTGAATAATATTTTTTTTCTAGACATTTGACATCGCACCATTTACACATAGGAACTATGTTGCACAAGTTCTAGACTTGTGAGTTTTATTTTAATTTTTAGGTCACTTAATCTTGTCTTTAAGGCCTGAGAGTTGAAAATATCGTCAGTGAACAATAAAGTGTGGAAAGATTTTTAATAAATTGAATAGATACCGTTGGATTTAAGATAGTTACATTTATTTTCTTTTATACTGTTTATAAATTTTAGTGGAGTTATGATGTTTGTTGAACGATGTTTAGAAGGCTAGACGAGCCTTTAAACTGTATTTTTCATCCCCACGAGAAATTTTAGATGTAGGATGTAGTTATATAATGGAATGTAAGCTTTAAGCAAAGAGACTAAGGAATAGTAATGTGTATGTATCTCTATGTATAATTACAATATTTTATATGTTTAAATATTTTCATAAATGAGTGATTTTTAAATTTCATGTGACAATTATCATGTATCATATAGGATTAGACAAAAGCAGTGATGTCAAAACACTAGTCTACATGTTTTTGCATTCGACATTTTGGGGAAATACATTAACATAAATACATAACGTAATAATGTTAGTTCATTGAATTAAGTTGTAACAAATAATTTTTATTTTAAGTATTTTTTTAAAATATATTTTATAAATATAGTCGAATGTTAAAGTTAAATGTAATCACTAAAATATTTCATTCAACGCAATCACTCTGCAACGTAAGTCGTCTTAATTTGACAATATTGAGATTGAGTTCATCTTGCCATATTTTTTTGTAATGAGTAACTGGTGAAATGCTCAGTTGAAACACAGTGGCTGCTACCAGCTGTCTAATATACATTCCTAGAAATTAGCATTTATATGCTTAAGTCCAAATTAAGCATTTCCGTTTTGCGTATCAAAACTATATCAACACCAAATGATTGGTCTTCTTTTGTATCGTTATTAAAACACGGGCACCTTACATATGTAATAAATGATAACACAAGTTTCCTAATAAATTATATACACCGAAAATGGCTATTATTTATAATCTGTTAATGGTTATAGTTCAGTGTACTGTTTTGTGTTTACTTAGAGCATTTTGGAACAATGTTTCTAAAAAGTAATTTATATTATGGGAATTGGTTATCTAAAAAAGGTTAAGTAATACTTAAGTAAAAACCGAGATAGACTTTGTGAACTCGTCTGCGCGGGTACCTCAATCGCGAAGCAGCTTGCTTTGTAAGTTGTGTTTGGGTTGAAGGGTGAGACAAGGCAGTGAAATTGCAAGGGACATAACATCTTAGTCCTCACGAGCGGTACTATAATGTCGGATAACCGGTAAAAAAGTAAAATCGGTGACCGTCTTATTTTTCGTCAGACAAAAGTACTCTGCCGCATTATTGTACTTTTTTAACCCACGATTATTGTTATCGCCAAATAAATATGCCTATAATGTTAGTTTAATTAGTATTTTCCTGCAACATCCATTTATTTTATCTGCGTATAGAGTAACCAGCTTATCAAGTTCCTTTCCCCTTTTATTATGTTACGCACGCTCTAATTCTACATAGGATTAAGTTACAATGAATTTTGTATGTACCTACATACTAAAACTATTCTATCTATAGAGTTAGTCGTCGTTCGTACATAAAACCTTAAACCTTTAAGTCAGTGAAAAAATTCCTCAAAGTAACAATGTGATAATGAATGTTGTATGAAAACTTCATAATTTATTTTGAGAATTATACATTATTTCTTGGGTAATATGGTTTAAATTCATTAGTATTATACCTGGCTCTAGACTTGGTATACGAAATTGGTGATGTAGTTTATGGATGCTCTCTTATACAGAGGCAAAATGAATAAAAACAAATGAGTTGCTTACACATATTTAGTTTTATTTGCTGCAATAGATAACTTATACTGACTAATTAAAACAAGCATGGCAACATCTTAGTATTACAATAATAAGACGCACTACAGGTACGCAGGTAAAAATACACAGTTCCTGGCACGCAATTTCATCGTTATTTTGCATGAAACCGCAAATCAAATATACGCTTAAATTACGTGCCGGGAATTATACAGGGATAACAACGATTTACATCTTCACATGCCCACTCAATACAGATATAAATAATAAGTACAAATTTAGTAAACTCATAGATAATCTATGTGTGAATTCAGTAATATCTAGGGTTACAATTTGAAATGCTATTCCGGAATGTAGGTATACTTACTAATAATACAAAATCTAACTATTGCTGCCCTAACATGTATTCGTCATAATTTTTAGCAAGATGCCTTTGTATGTGGGTTGTAGAAGGACATAGGTTTATTATCGCGGTCGTTAGATATGTCCCAGCCACGCAGACGAAGTCGTCATCACAGCAAATATTTCACAATTCATTCCACCTAATTTCAGAGTCCTCGTTAATAAACAGGGGGCTTAAAAAACCGCTGTCCTTGAATATTAGAAAACCAAACTACTAAACAGTGGTTACACTAAATTAATTTAATTATGACTCATGTAAAGTAGGTTTTAAATACTCCAGAGTTGTAATTACTTTCTTTGTTTTTTATTACAAATTCATGACACTTAATTGTGCAAAATTACCTATATACTACGTATACTAAAACAAAAGGTAGGGAATTAAAAAGTACACACGTCACCTAGAAACTAAAAAAAGCGTGATAGGTAAATATATACCTAAAAATATTAGGCCAAATAATCTTTAAATATATTAAAAATAGCTCGTCAATTTCGTGCGCGGTAATTCAGTGGTAGAAGACGTACAAAGATTAGTTTTTAGTCGTTGCTTCCTATAATCTGCTTCGCATCGTCGCTGATGTCTATGTCATCATAGGCGCTTACTCTTACAACGGCAGAGTTGAAGTTCGAACCTCGAGGCTGAGGTGTTTATGCTAAAAACGTATTTGTATTGGCGGGAGTTCCGATGAAGCTATAAATACCAGCGGCCAACAGGATTAGAATATATAATAACTTTGCCACATTAAAAAAATTCCGCACATGAATATGACGAACTATAAAACTGCCTGTAAGAAGCCATTACACACTCACTGAATGGAACTATAAACATAATGTAACTTTAATACGATGGTAAAACCTTCGAAAATTTAGCACCACATGTTGGCTTCTCACTTTCATTTGCCAATACTGAATTAATAGGTACATATTATGTCCATTTTATTATTTTTTCTGTCACAGCTAACTTGAATGTAATATATTTATAAGTAAGTCATTCTCTTAAAAATATTTGTTCATTCAGATCATTAATTACATTAAAAATCATAATACTTAAAAGCAGCCGTTTTACAAGATAATTTATCACCATACTATGTCATTTATGAATAAAATATCATTAAAAAATAATAAAATGGACAAATAGATTGATCCATAGATAGATCAATACAACTTTCATACAACCATAAATATTTTGATTAAAATTAATTGCATTTTTTTTAACTCACCGGTCAATATTATTAATATTTATATAAGATGTACAATTGACAAAGTTCCATTTCTTCACAGGTGTTCAAAGACACACCTTTCCTTATCATCCACCAAAACATGATATGTTTGTGAACACATTTTGTGCAACTTGAAACTTTGTTAACTGATACAGGAATTGGAGAGTATATTTAAGGGAACATATACAACATCAGATTATATGCAAAATATCTTGTAAACGGTTCAGGTAATGTATGCTTGGTGGACTTGACTTGGAATGTTACAGAGGTGGTTGATCCCATTTGAGGTGTTTTTCTGGTGTGAGGTGCACTATACGTACATGCACTGCTTGATTCTTCTCAAATTTGGGTGGGATTGGACAGAGGCGATATATTACCTCATCACCAGGCAGTGGAACAAACTCACCTTCAATACTGTAATATAAACATAGTAGTTATTTTCTATGAACTAAAACTTCATATAAGCACAATTAGCCTATTATAATATAGTGCAAATTTATTTAAAAATGAAATGAAACACAAAATACATGAGAACCTAAATTTTGTATTCATTATTTACACAAATTCAGCTTTTATGTTTTTACAAATTGAGTTATATTCTCAATAATATCATTTCATTAGACGCTATGGCAAATAAAATATATATTTGTAGTAGATAACTATGCCATGTAATAGGATACTATTACACTTTTATATATATACTCTTCTCTCAAATAGATACTGTAACATATAGAATCCAAATTAAAAAGAAATTGATATCAATAATTATTTATATTATGTACTCTACACATTCCGCAAAGTCTGAGCAGCATTTATTAGTTGATGAGTTATTAACCTTTCAAATGTCTGTCATTTGTCACAGCACCAGAAAGTGAAGAGGATGAATATTTTGTTTCAAATAAGGACTAAATTGGTTAAAAAGAAGTCACGGTTTTGCTTGCACAGATCTGTGACAAAACGGTAATATGGCTTAACAGGGATGCACAGATCTGTGTCAAAATGTTCGAATGGCTAATGATAACTTCAAATTTTTATTGCCTGTGCATGCTCTTTTTATTCAATACCTTTTCAAACATTATTGAATTAAATGATGAATCAATAATACACAAAAAGTTTGGAGTTACACTCTTTGTGATAATTGAATAATGCCACACATTGTTTTAATAACAATATACATGCTACATAAGTAATTTGTAATGAGGAATGTAAACATAACTATCTCGAGGTCAAACTATGCTCAATGTTAAAGTGAAGTTACTATATCTTATTTGAATGGTCACATGGTTCATTGTACACAACATTATAAAATTAAAACCTCAGCAAATCTCTGACAATATTTTTAATCCAATAAGTTGAGTTGGTCTTTCTTGATAAAGATTCATGATATTATAACCATCATTCATGATTCAAGATTCATGATATATACCAAATAATTATAACATTAATAGTTTTTCTTGTCTTTGTTCATGTGACCAGGATATATTAACTGACTAGAGTTAGAATTGTCATATGTCCTTCTTCATACTACAGATATAACAAATCTTATGATGACGGTTGAAGCAATCATTATAGAATTTTGCGATAGGGCGCCAAGAATAATAAACAATGTAATTATATCTATGGTATTATTAAGGTTAATAGAGTTTAAACAGAATACTTCCAAGAGATTTAATAAATAAGCTTACTCACTCAGAGATATGTACGAAAATGTCGGCGCCTCCTTTTTCCGGTGTAACAAAACCATGACCTTTTTCGCGACAAAATGATTTGATTTTCCCACTTTCCAATGGGTTAACTAAAGCTCTATCCGATCTGTAATTAATTATTAAAATATAAAGTCGACATAAAAATAATTTAAATAATTTCTATAATATAAACAAAATGAATAACTTACGTTGACGCAGTACGGTTCCGTCTCGTAATTATGGGGCTTGGGAGTTGTAAATGAGAATTGGTTTTATTGGGGGAATCGTCACTATTAAAACCATAATCATTGGACATGTTGTCTTGATTGTAGCAGAAATAGTACACGGAAGTAATATAAGGAAAAAATAAATTATCGGTTGCTCGTGTTTGTAAAGAAAAGTAAATTGTGAAACGTCAATTCAGTGTTACCATATTTAAATCAAGAAATTCCAAAAATCACATCGAATTTATTACTGTAGAATTGAGAAAGAACAAGAACATCTAATGCCGTTTATCTACAATTTTCTCTATAATTTTTAATAAATTATTATAATTACGTAATAAAAAATCCTTATCGTGTGTCAAACAACAAACATATTGTTTTCGTAATCAATTAAAAAATTATACAATTTACAATATCATTATTTATTGTGATATACTAATGTAGGTGTTTTTTGGTAGAAGGCATATGAAGTATTAGTTACTATTCTAAAATATGTATCGGCATCTGTAATACTAGCATTTTATTTTATAAACTCCTAAAATATATGTTTCCCATCCATATCTGGTATCATTGATTAACGTAGTGTAGTAAAAGCTATACAAAAAAGAAATAAGGGTTAACATTATAGAAATATTTTAATCTGACTTCCTGCACTACCAAATTTGGACTTTTCTAAACTATTTATACTATTAACTCTATGGCACTCTATGCCTAAATCTAGCATCATCACTAATGAATTTGCATATAAGTAGTATTCAAACAAAATTGAATTTCGTCTAGAGAGGGATTTAAGTAATTGTTCTGAGAATTAGACAACCTCTTGTACATTTTGAATGAATTTCACCTGATATTCTAATATGGTTCGGTCATTTGCGATGGCGCTTCTAGTAATCCATTACTATACATATTTTTTTAATTTTACCTCTACCTCAAAAAATCAGAAAATCCAAGATAAAAAATATTGATAGGATAAATAAAAAACAGTAATTAGTTTTATAATTCTTATTTTATATTTGTATTTTATTAGATATACGTACCGATGACATATTTAAAGTTAGAATAATGTTTATCACAAGTTAATTCAACATACTTTTAATATGTATTTAGTAATATTGGTTTTCTTGTTTGTACGAGTATGAGTAAGTAATTGTTAGTGTTATTGTAGTTTTATTCGACGCCGTTGAGAACATCGGGACACAATCGGGGCTCAATATTCAAAGGAACTCGAATTCTGGGAATTGGTATTCCTTCCCAATCACCCTGTAACGAAAAAAAATATATTTATAAAACTAAGTATTCAGATTATAGACAATAAATAGTGTATACTAGTCGTTTACTATCCTTAAATGAGTTAGTAACGGGGATATATGACTGCATTGCCAAGTTGACACACGGGCCCCCTCTGGATACCACCGTTAATATAATATCTGGCGAATAGGGCACAATTTGCTAACTGCCCTGATTTCATTATCATCCTATCATCCTTCTTGGGTGACCCCCTTAGCAAAGTCCTGGTGAATTCGTCACGTTGAGCTAACGGGCCTAATAGGTAGGGCGTTGATAGGTACTTCTTTCTTATCTATTACATGACAACTTCACCACAAGAAGCTGATATAAAGGGTGAGATAGGGTAGCATCATGAGGGATTATTAGCAATGGTGATTCCTGGTGAATTTATCAGGATAGGCTAACTGGCCAAACTTCATGCTCATTCTATCATCCTTCACTAACGCCTCGCCAGCGTATACTGTTAGCGCAGTCGAGTGCACCATTCAATTATCACCCCTTAAAATAATATTTATTCTCCCAATTGGACCACAATTAAGGCTTGAATCTAGCCAAAGACTTCGCGTGTCCATTAATATGTTTGACTGATTCTCCGGTGATGGAAACACCGATAATAACCGAAATTAATCCGCTCCCGACGCTCGCCTCCTGTCATATTGGATTCAAATATGCTCACTAAAATGAAGTCATATCACTCTATCTGTGACAACAGTCCGAAAGGTATTTTTAATATAAATCGAATAATTTAAATAGGTACTACAATATTTTATATTTGTATTATACTTATAATAATAAAGATAAGTGATTTATTCCTGAACGATTTTGGGTACAATAGAAGTACAATTAATTAAAATTAATTAAATCATGGCAAATATCATAAGGGATAAATACAAAATATGCTTATACGAAGCGTACAAATATTGAGTATTGAATATTAATGAAATATACCTGAAATCTATTACCATCCGATTTGTTACATTGCATAGATATTGGTGATTCAATATAGAGACTGTTCAAAGTATTAACCCTCAACGGCGTCCATGGACTGATTGCTAAGTAATTGTATCGTGGGGGCGATTTGTACGAAACAGACATATTATCCCACCTGAAATATAAAAATATGTTCTGTATGATTACTATGTATGATATTAAGTTTACTACTTACTTAAGAAAATAACGATATAGAAACGACATTTATGATATGGATCAAAATTAGGTATGTTACTTGAATTTTCGATGTTGATTTCTTTATGTTTATCTATATCTACCTGTGTTATAGACAGAGCTATATAGCACTTATATAGCACTACACACACAGTGATAGCAATATTATAGGTAAAACTATATAACTTAGGTTTCCTAGAAAATGTCCCCAATTTTTTACAATAATATAAGTAGGTATTAGGTAAACAAAAATGTATTGTATTTTATTTAGCGTTTTGTTTTCAAATTTTGTACGTATAGTATCGTCTCTATAGAATGAAAAGAATTTAAAAAAAAGTCGAGTATAGCTTGGTCATCCAAATACCTACTATCATGAATAAAATTGCAATACTATTAAAGAAAATTCTAGCGAAGCTTGGTCACCCAGGTACTTCCTTGAATAAAATTGTACTATTAATGGTGAGTAAACGAAATACTTGCCGATGTTCAAATTTAAAATAATTCTCAAGAGCAATATTAGAGACGGCGCTCTTGCAAACCTCCAGATGTGTAGCGGGATAGTAATGTATGTAGTTGACACACATTTCATCAGTGATCGCATGCCCGCCAATTGTAGCATTCTCTTTATCTACAGTGTTATATAAACAGGTTGTCTCTAAAAAGTCACCCTGTAATTATTAAAATATAATAAAATAAAAACAGTATCTTAGTTTCACAGTTTACAGTTTGCCGAGATGAGTATTGAGCGAGTTGCAATAGTAGCAACATACGAAGACGTGTGAAGGTAGACGAATATGTCTGTCCATGAATGATTTTATATACCCGCTACTCTTTTGTTTACCCGTGATCATGGCGGTTGAAACACTGCCGAAATATCGGTCTCTCAAATAAACTCAATAAAAATAAATGAGAGATGGTAATATCCTGTGATTTTTCTAATTGTGTGTATAAATTGATATGCATGCAGCCATACGGCGAAGTCACGCCGGCGCCATGTCAGGGTTTGTTGCTTTTGGTTGTTGTTCGAAAAAAATAGGTATTTACAAGTAGGTACATACCTACTTACCGACATATGCCTACATACGCTTGGTACAAACACTCGTATTCCCGAGTATGACGATTGTGACGAGTATGATACGATTGTTTGTATCGGCGGTCTGTCTGTGAGTTTATATATATATTATCGTCAAGGGGTATAATTAATATTTATTTTTGTATAACCGTAGTATTAGTATAAGCTGACTCTGTGTAAATTTAAAAAAATACTTTCATTTTTTTACCTACCGGCAAAACTTGTACAGGTTTATGTAAAATCCTAATTTCCTGAAAATGTGTTGAGTAGTGCATATCCTTATTGAGTAATGGCAATTCGACTCCATGACGGGAGTGTCGCGTCCAAACTGCTATACCGGTTAAATGCGTATGAAGCTGACTTCCAAATACTACGATTCCACGATCTGGTAGACCCTATAATTATAGCAATAAAGTTAAAATTACTACAGCTCAGATATGCTTCATCTGCGTTAATAGGTTCTTACTTACTTACTTACTTTTTTCTTTTCTATTACATAACAATTTCACCATAAGAAGCTGATATAAAGGGTGAGATAGGGTAGTCAAATTACAAGGTACGAAGCAATGATACTGACTACTATGTCTTCAAGACAGAACCTGAGGGGTATGTGGGATACTAGTAGCATCATGAGGGATTATTAGCAATGGTGATTCCTGGTGAATTCATCACTATAGGTTAACTGGCCAAACTTCATGCTCATCCTATCATCCTTGACTAACGCCTCGAAAACGTATACCGTTAGCGCAGGCGGCACTATTCTATTATCACCCATTAAAAAAAACCTGCGATCATCACAAATTTTGTAACGTCCTTCTTGTCTATAAACGACATTTTTTTAAAAATTGTTCATAATGGAATAGTGCACCAGTCAGCGCTACCGGTTTACCCTGACGGAGCTCAAGTGGAGCATGATAAGATGAATATGAGAACAAGTCAGTCAGCCCATTGTGATAAATTCACCAGGAATTTATCAGGTTTGTTTCCAGGGGAACCGCGTAAAGATCAATCTGACATAATATCTACACACATTAATACATTGCTAACAATGGGGTCATCAGTGGGCTAATTATCTAACTTCGATCGCAACGATTTTCATATGTAACGTAGTGAAAATGACGTCATCTGTCAATAATACGATTATACTGACGCCATTTGACGCTGTCATAGTTTACATTACAAATAACCCCTTCCCACATTATAAATCACCACGAGTGGTCATATTAGTTACACAAGAAAAAATTACCACGCCTGTGCATTGGGGTATACAATAACCAGTTAAGGGGAATGCCTTCTGTCCACCAGGGATGGCCATTTTATCTGTATATTCCAGACCAAGCTCCATAATAGCGGCATCGTATTGACGCTTATGTGAAGTTACATGTATAGTGATCCCTGAACTATCCACCCAATCTGAAATGGAACCAAAATATTTATCATTAATTTGATTGTTGGCTAGTTAAATCTTCCTAGTGGTCGAAATTCGATCGTAATAAAAAGTAAGTACAAAAAAATCTTTGAGCCAACAATAACAATCAAATAAAAAGAGTAAGTATATGTACCTATATGTGTGTGTGTCACATACATGGTCGTGTCTAATATTTTTTATTGATTAATGTATTTTTTGTACTTTATTTTAAAATGCGAAATTTCATACTCCATAGGCGCAATTTTCGTAAAAAGGAGTACAAAATGTTGGCTCATGTATTAATATATACATTTATATAGAGTAAAACTTTCTATTTGCGTACTATTTTGAACAAGTGGTACATACATTCAAACTTCGTACAAAGTCTGCGTGGGCACCTAAGGTAACATTACGGTAACAGTAAGGTGACATTACAGGGCAGTAAAATTACAGGGATAAAATCTTAAGACTTTCGAAATGAGACCACATACTGGGTTCTACGGGCGATACGTGATGACGTGAGAATTGCATCATATCTATGATCTACAGGCATCAAAGTATATTTTGTTATGTATTATTACATAGTAAGAGCATGTTTTTAAAAAAGGTTCTTTTTGACGTCAAAATTGTTCCTATTTATAGTATCAATTATTATGTCGATGATAAGTAGGTAAGTCGATGATTACCTTTTCTCAACGCAGGATTATTATAATGCACTTCCAACATTACATACTTGTTATTATTAGGACCTCCTATAGGTAATCCAGCTTCTTTTGGATAAACAAAAGGTGGTGCTCCCATGGCCCATGCCGCCTTCACCTGTTAGTAAAATAAGAATATTACAAAACCATCCGTTTCCATACATTATTTTCATTTAAAAACCAAACAACTGAATGTTTCCATTAAAATTTTGTGGGACTAATATGAAAGTAGGTATACATGTATACCTTTCCAATAGAAAAAATCATTTTTACTGAATACAATATACAAATTAATAATTTTCTACATTTCTAAAGTCTGTAAAAAATAATAATCATTCATTAGACACGTTTACACGTGAACAGAATTTATTTTAAATATACCTTTGAACATGTTTTTGTGATTTCTGGTCGATCAGGAGCAAAACAACTACCCTCGTATGTCGGTATGTCCAAACTGGGATCAGCATCGCAATAAAAAAGTTCCATATGATGAACTAAACCTTCATTGCCTAGAGTAATGGTTGATTGAAACTGTAAAAAAATAAATACCATCTTCACACTAGGTACCATACAGACTGGACTAAGTAAAACAAGTGTCATTCGCAGAAGCCAAGAATTTAATTATGGGTAGAAATTCCTAAGCACTATTGTTATTTCTTACTTCATTCACATCGATAAGACTTTTCAAGCGTACATTCCTGTTTTGAAAATATTGAAATCGTTGATTCGACAAGGTTTATCCTGTCAGTGTAGGTTACAATGTCGACTTGGCGGCCAAAATATGTACCTACCACAAGACGACTTTGTAGAAAGCCGATCTTATTATTAGGGGTGCAATTATTCCAGGCATTTTCTTTTTATAAAATAGACAGTCTATATCAGCTACTAGTTGATAATGTAATTAATTTAATATGTGAAAGAATTTTTAAAAAGATTCAAGTTTTTTCAGATTATTCAATATAAAATCTTTTCTCATTTTAATGTTGATAATCATAATATAGGCTGTACCTGAATAATGTGATGTGGTGTTCGTGTTATGAAATCGGGTAGTTTCACTACTTTACACCAATATGTTGTGTCACCGTCTGGTACTTTTAAATTGTTGTTAGTAATATGAACCTGAAGAGCACTATTCTTCAAACCAGCCGGCGGCGTTAGCAATCGCACTCTTATAAAACCTCGGTTTTCCTTTGCTGTACATGTTATACACAAACCTTTCGATGTAAATAGTTTATCTATCCCTCGAGACCAAATTACGTGAGTAGTACCATCCTGAAAGTATAATCTATTACATAATTAGTTTAGAGAAATTCATAGAAAATTCAGTATCTACTCTGAAATTGAGCAAATATTTTATGTTGCAGGTAATGCTTCAATAGTCTTAAATGGTTCTTTCAATAGTCGTAAAATCAAATTTTGAGTGATAATTCTAAGTGTCTAGTACTAGTATACAGAAGCTTCCTTTCGCGTTCATTTAGATTGTGGACTGATTTTCCTAGCCAGGTTTTCTCTTAGGATTGCAGCACGGGATATTTCGAGAAGGGTATAAGGTAATAATAAGGTTTCTTAAGGGTCGGCAACGCACACGTAGGCTACTGTAACCGTTTAGGATCAGATGGGCCGTATGCTTGATTGCCACCATTGTATGTATAAAAAAGAGTAATTTAGCGTCAACTGTAATAAGGTACATGCTTAAATGCAATTATGATGTACTAACTAGAATATATATCATCAAATAATTCGTAGGCTCGTTTGCCACTATTGCGACTTATAATAAATAGAAAAATAAGACACCTCAATGACGTAATCATCACGGTCACATGTATCGAAAAATCTTTCAAAAAATATACTTCTGGATTGACTATTCAAGTGAAATCCTTTACAATCCTGTTTTTTATCACGAATTAATTTTCCACTCTCATCACTGTGCATATCCTGAAAATAAAAATATGCAAAATAATATTAAATTTATATTGCTGTAAGTTTTTTTTATAATAATGTACATGATATATACGTTAGGCCTACCTCTGTCTGTCTATTGAGTTAGGTGGAGATAATGGCATTCCAAATGCAGGAGGCATTTTGCCTAACATTTATTTAATTTTATTGATGTTATTAAAAACTAAACCAAGTTCCACATTATCCAATTATGCTATAAGTCTGGTTATCCTCTAAGTAATTTGCGTTCACGAGTATGACATTTTTAATAATAATGCATTATTATTTCTTCACACATTTTTTAAAATTATTTTAACAAATAAATAATCAAATATTAACTACTACCTACTTACCTCGAAATGGTCATGGCCTTTGTAGTCAGTCCACAGCAGGCATACATCAGCATTTTCAAGATCACCTCGGTCTGAAAACCCTAATGCGAACCAACTGAATGGTGATGCCTTTTCTAACAATTTTATTTCGAATTGAATTTTTTGGCTTGAATAATCTACTCTCCACTTAAGTAATACTTCGCCATGCGGGTCTAACACTGATTCACTTTCTGCTAGTTCGACTTCTGCTAAGGAACGGAAATGTTAAAATTTTAATTTAGTAACGATATTCAATTTTACATTAAAATTAATGAAAGTATCTGTACCTGCTTTTTCAGGAATTGAAAATGAATAATTAGAACATACAAGGAATGATAATAGTACGATTATATATTTGGCATGCATTTTTAGAATAACTTTACACAAAATATAATTTTGTAAACTCGTTTTGAGCACTGTGTATGAACGTTTTCTTCAGAAGTAGAGACGATAATGAAGAAGGTAGTCATGGAGGCGCCATCTTGGCTCTGAAATAATCACGTCTCTCTCGGCCTGGGGCATTGGAATGTTATTGAGCAAGTACAGACAGGAAGAAAATGTCTATCGTTTCTTAAGATTATTATGACAAAATAAATACATTGATTAAATTTTTATTCAATCAAAATTGGTTAAAAGTTCAGTAATAAATTTATATGTAGGTAAATAAGAATTAGCTTTGAATACCAACGAGATTTTTCAAAATTACCTTGGTCAGCCCGACTTAATTTAATATGCAAAATAACTGGTGTTTTAAAATCAAAAACCTATTTTCGTGTTATCTACCCATTTTCATAAAATTTAGTTCATTCTTATTAAAATCATCAGTTAACAATTAATTATATTTTATAGATAAGAATCTCCATACCGAAACCAAATTACAGATTAATAAAAAATGTTAGTGTATCTTATAACTAATAAAACTGTTAGAGTTTCCATTTAAATCTAGTACCTACGTGTAAGAGAGAATATGACTGTACACGCAATATTAATATGTAAATCGAAGATGTGAGAATATTAAGAACGCCTGAGAAATGCCAGGGTTCGGGCGCAAAGGTATTTCCCAACATCGTTGACTCGAACGATATTAAATTCCGGAGGAATTAACGTCCGCTGCGCCAGATGCAATCTAAATCAAGTTAAGTAAGGACATATTAATTTGATCCACAAATAACTATGTATTATGGTTTAATTTAAGCTTACAGTTTTTGTACCTAGACAGGTCCCAAAATTTGATAAGTTTAAATGTACGACGAAATTAGAAATTAAAAACTCTGATTATTGAAACTATTAATGGCGTCATGACTTTAGTTTAAGGGTAGATAGCCTAATAGGAACGAACGGGTAGTTAATTACACATTTTTTTATAATAATAATAATCTTAGGACAGTTCATACAGCGCTATCTAGACCCATTTTAAGCTAGCTAAAGCTTGTGTTATGGGCACTAGATAACTGATACCATTACATATATTTTTAAATTTTAAATTCATCTATTTGATTTTTGTATAATATAATCTTATATATAAAATTCTCGTGTCACAGTTTTCGTTCCCATACTCCTCCGAAACGGCTTGACCGATTCTCATGAAATTTTGTGAGCCTATCGAGTAGGTCTGAGAATCGGCCAACATCTATTTTTCATCCCCCTAAATGTTAAGGGTATTCCAACCCTAAATTTTTATTTTTATTTTAAGGCAAAACAACGTTTGCCGGGACAGCTAGTATAATAATCTCAGGACAATTCACACAGCGCTATCTAGACCCAAGTTAAGCTAGCTAAAGCTTGTGTTATGGGTACTAGATAACTGATACATATATAGATATTTTTTTTGTAAATACATCCATATAATACATAGAAAACACCTAGACCGATACAAACAATCATACTCATGAATACAAATGTTTGTGCCGTGCGAAGAATCGAACCCGCGACCATCGGACGTAAAGCGGTGTGCTAGACCGCTAGACCACCGAGGTCGTCAATATACATACATACATGTCGTGTATATACATACATATCATACATATAATTTATTATTCATTATTTAGGTACAGCAATGCAACACTAAAGTAATTCTATAATTCGAACCAGAAGTTCCCGAGTTTAACGCGTTCAAACAAAAACTCTGGTTTATAATATTAATAATAAAGATTGACTATAATTAATCGTATCATACCTAAATAAAGTATCGCAATTAACAGTGTATAAATAATGTTTCCATAGGTTAAAATTTGCAAAACATATGGTAAGTTTTCAAAGATATTCGGTGCTGCATCGAGTCCGTTCAGGACTCTGTATTTCTTACTTTTTATGGCTGGTTTAACCCTAAAATTTGTCGTACCAGTAATTTTGTTGGGTAGATATGTCATGGATTTTCAGTCTGTGCGATATGACTGAGGGATACGACTTTAGTCTTGGAGTCTGCTGAGTAGAATCTCTTTTTGTGTATGTAATTTTTTGCCTAAAATGTAAGTATGGCTATTTAGTGAAACACCGCTCATCGTATATTGTGTACTGCCTCCATGTGCTGCTTTGGATAATAATGTTTTTTTTTTTGTGAATAATATGTAATCGTTCGTGATTTATTTAATAAATGGACAGATACTAGTTTTTACCCCTAAGAAAATATTACATATTATTATATAATACATTTTATTCATACATGGACGTACTGTAAAGGGTAAATCAGTCTCATTTTCTTTATTTGTTCACCTGTGCAAAGTCGGGACCAATAGCTAGTATATTAAATAAAATAGTGTAATTAAACAAAAGAGATATTTATTTCTTAAAAATAAGAAATACATTAACATTATTAGGAGCATCAATAGTATTTCAACTAAATAATTAAAATATATCGTTTCAATTGTTACGTTACTAACAAAGTGTTTTATTTGAAACATTATCATATATTATTTTAATGGATTCATGAACTATTATCACTTACCACTTTTTAAGTAACATTAGGTACAACCATATTTATACTTTGTAATAAACTTTTTATACCTTTATTGTAATTTACCATTACGTAAAAATATAAGAATACTTTTTCTTTATATAAATATAAACGTTATGTATATAGATTTAACAACAAGAAATGGAACATCACTAGGCACGTGTTGCTATATGGGTAATGAAATACTACTGAAGTATTTTTTTTACTATAATCTAGTTTTTATATATTTTTATCAAATAAAAGGAAAGGGCTTTTATTATATAACAATGTTATGAGCAATTCTCAATTGTAAAGAATTATGATTGACGATTATTAAATAATGAACACAACAATTACTTACAAATTGTCGATGCGAACTTAGATTACGGTTTGCAATTGCAACTATTATTAATAGTCCGTACATAATTGGAAAATTGTAGATTTTAAACCGTTTGAAATGGGAATTGTTAGATTGGTAAATAGTCAAGGCAGACTTCTAATCCCTTGGGTATATATTGTTCCATATATAAAATACTTTTTTGTATTAGCTATTTATATTCAGAGTGACAAATTTTCTTCTCTCTCTCTCTCTCTCTTTTTTACAGTTTCGAACTATAATTATTTAAAAATTAAATCATTATAATTATACTAATGACAGAAATTATTATTCAGCATCACTTTTTATATCTTCCTTAACTTCGTGAGCGTTGTCTTCTTTGATACTGACTTCCTGCTAGAACAAGAATACATGATATATCAAAAATTTCATTAATTGTATTATTTCAACACCATTAAATTAATATATTTTTATATATCTGTATTTATTTACATCTATATTTATTTTAAACATTTCGACCTAGGTAGACTATGTGCGAACGTCGGCATTTTTACCTCCGTCTTAGCTACTTCAGTTGGCAAGCAGAAGGGTAGGACTATGTAAGAAGGGTTCAGTAGAACGTTGAGATAGGGCAATAAAGTATATGAAGAATACATAGAATACACATGAGCAGTGCGCCAGGCGTCACAGGATAAAATTATATTCATGTATATAGGGGATATTTAGTGTTTACCATCAGAAGGACGGGCATGGACATTCGTGGCAGACAAACATATGGTCCATCTGATGGTAAACGGTTACAGTACCCTATGGACGCCTAAGATACCAGGTATGTCACGTGGGCGTTGCCATTCCAATGACATTTACTCTGCACACTCACATTTTTCTCTCCACATTGACTGTTTTCTTAATGTCTGTAAATTATGGCTTGTATATTTTATGTAATTATTGTTGCGCTTGACACAACACAACGAATCAATAAAATATATCCTATTCTATTTTCAAAAATTGCACAGTTTATGATAAAGTTATTAGAACTGTACCTCTTGTTCTCTTTCAAAGAGTATCACTAATTCGACATGCTTCGTATGCGGGAACATATCCACGGGGACCGCTCGGACGGGGACGAACGGAGCGCCGCGTAGTGTCTTTGACGACTGCCGCGCTAAGTCCGTCAAGTTTTTCACAGCCGACGCCGGGCTGCATGTTATGTACACTAATCGCTTTACCTTCTTTGTGTTGCGCAGTTGGGTTATAGCTCGCATATCTATAATGATTTTATATTTAAATACGCAACCTCATTATATATGTATAAAGCAAAAAGTCAACTATAAAAGTTTTATATGCAATATTCTTGGTAACTACTCTTACAATTAGATATATACAAAACATATTTACATTACCAATGAAAAAATGGTTTATATTAGTTTATTTAAATATAGATTATTTCTTCTTAAGTATCAGAGAATACAATCAATCAAAAGTATCTTTATTCATATAGGTCTAATTGTAGACACTTATGGAAAGTCAAATCTATCGTTAAATAACTACATATAGAATCTCTATGTATATTAAAAAACTACTTACGAAGGCCAGCTCTAGGGGGATCAACAATAGCTATAATATCATCAGCTGTAGTTCTAGCTAGAACAGACTGTAAGATATCCTCAGCCTTGCCCGTGAAGAAATCGCAGTTTTCTATGTTGTTCAATTTGGCATTCGCGTGAGCATCTTTTACTGCCTCGGGTACGACCTCGAGCCCGAAAACTTTACTGCAGTGCTATAAAATAAAATACACTAAAAGTACATACTATTAAAAGAGACACCAAATATTTATATAATCTGTATTTTTTAAATCTTCGTACTCGTATTCATTATTAAATCGCACAACCTTACTTATACTCTCGGTTCAGCGCCACGGTTGACTGGTAGATAATGTCTTATAGATGATAATGGAGTGGTGCATCCGCCTACGCTGACGGTTTACGCTGGCGGAGCACCAGTGGAAGATGATAAGATGAGCATGAGGTCAGGTCAGTTAGCTCATCGTGGTAAATGTACCATGAATTTATTATGATAGAAACCCCAAGGGGAACGTGGAGGTCAAGCTGATATGGTACATCGCTAGCAAATAGTTTATTAATCCAACAATCCTCTACCTTCTTTACAGTCATCAATTGCGATTTAAAAGATCTATACACTGTCTGGTCTGGTTTAGGCCCTTACCGACCTGCTGGGTTCGGGCCCCAAGCTTATGCTCTTTACCCTGGCGTACTGCTGGGGTGAACAACCCCAGTGCCGTTCCGTTGCACCTTTAATTGGCGAGGCCGGCTACGGTTATGTAATCGGCTAAAGGAATAGTATGCAAATTAGTCGTTCGCCGGGCCGACTTTACGCGACGCGTTTCTACAATGAGAGAAGAGACGGATTACGGGAGCGCGCGAGTTGCGTCCGTTGAGCGCGCGTGAAACTGTCAAACGGTCATTTCTGCACACTGTACGCTGTAACTTTGAAGACCTGCATAGAAAACTATTGTTACCTTAGCGAAGCACAATCCAATAGTTCCTGTGCCACAGCATATGTCTATTATAGTGGAGTCCGCTTTAATATCACTCATATCGATTGCACTTTGGTATAAGATTTCGGCGGCTGCCGTGTTTACCTACAATTAATAAAAAAAAAGTTCTTGATATATCCTGCCCTCTACAAACTGTGACTACTATAATAGTTCAAAGTTAATGTAGTAGACTTCTACATTTAAATCTAATATTGAGATAATTAGGGATTTACATATTTATGAGTTTAATTGAAACAATAGTACAAGAAATGTCATTAATTTTCCAACTATAATTTATACTTATTTAAACCAAAGCAGACACTAAAGTTGTACATTGCTTTAAAAAACTTGCAGCAAATTTTCTTGCGTTACGAATAAGGCATTAGAAGTTTAAATTTTTTTATTCAAAGTATGTTTATTTGCATAAAGATTATTTCTATTCTGTTCTCAAATTCTTTACTCACTTGAAAGAATGCTTCAGGAGATATTCTAAACTGACGTCCTAATATACTATCAGTTATATGCGTAGATCCCATCAAGTGCTCCGCTTTAGAAGTGTCTTCACCAATCCTCCTGGAAATACAAGTATCTTATGTAATGTACAATTTAAGCAAAGCTTGTGTTATGGGTACTAGACAAATTAGTCATGTGAAAGAAGAATGTATATATATATAAGAGTCAATTTTTAAATGTAAATATATTTTTACCTTTTAGTGAGCTGTTGAAAATACAGTGATTTGATTCCACAAGCAGTAGCCTCTTCTGTACTGAAATGTTCGATTAGCTGTTTCTTTACAGATTCTAACTGTTCCTCAGATAGATCCTACAAACAGAATGTAATATGTATATAACAAATACTGCTGGTTTTTTTTTTATACAATAAATATAGACACTGTGACAAAATATGTCTTGCAGTTTATTCAACCAGGTAATATTTGTATGTAATGTTAAATTCAGATCGTGAAAGATATTTTCAAATACGTGATTGCACTGCTCTGAATTTTCACCCATTAAACATTCTCTAGTGACATGTGGATTGTATCACATACATAATGATTCACTGTTTTTATAGCTTGGGATGGGTAACGGAGTGATATTAGTGGGGCCACCATTACTAAGAATATATCCTATCAGATTAATATATGGGGTTTCACTGGCAAATGTAGCTTATGTATGAAGGATTCTACACATTCAGCTAAGAAACTTAACTTCATACATAAGCTATCATCTTCCAATAATGCCCTGCCAGAGTATACTGTTAGAGTACACCAGTGTGTACCATTCCATATTTATTCACTCAAAAAAGAGATAAAATAAATTAGTATAATAATGTTTTCCAGTTAACTTAATAAATAATACACATTGATAATTTGCATATTGATAAACAATATGTGCAATAACTCACCTGCAAATGCAGATAAACAATAAGCATAATATCCCCAGTTGACATAGAATGTCTGACAGTTAGATATCTCCAATAACCTGAATAGTCTGCTGGTGAAAACGGGGGCAGATCAGACTTGCGAACAAAATCTTCAAACAACTGAAAAACAATGGTCACAATATTATGTATGTAATAAAAAATCGGATCATTTTTATTAATAATTGATTCATTATATATTCATAATTTAAGAGCCACACTATTGTTTCCATCCAACCATCCATTTCCATCAATGTCTTTACTTGTTGATATGACATAACTGCAAGTTTTTCCTTGATCTGCTTTATATAGCTGTGTCTTGGACTTCCCTTTCCCCTCTTTTCATCAATAATATTATTTATAACTTTGTTGTTTTGATTAACTGCCCCAACATTTTCCCCCGCCTAAATTACAATATCTATTTAGTAGTGTGCTCTATTTTTTACAGAAATAGCCTGTTATTACACTCTATGTACAGCAATGATACTAAGATTGTGTATAATGTGGAGTTAATGTATGCAAAATTCTGGAAGAAGCAGGTGGTATGTTCAGTGAAATGATATATTGAAATGTTAATATTTACCAAAACAGCTTTTTTAGTTCCCTCAGAGATGTGGTATAAGGATTGTATTGGAGCAACTGCCACAGTACCAGTGACATAACCGCCGAGTCGAAATCCCACCGTCGGCAGATTAGTCTCCTCATCCACACCAACTGTGAACTCGCATTTGTTTCTGTATCCTTCTGTAACAGGCGATTTTCTTATCCCCATCAGTTCGAAACTTAATCCATTGTATAGCTTTCGTTTGGCTTCTAATTCATCTCTATTCATTTTGTTAATTTTCCATATTTCATTGTCAAACTTCATAAGTAGATGCCTAATTTCTTTCTCTTTTAAGGTAAGCTGAAAATGTTATGACATAGATTATTTATATCTTTTTATGTAACTGGAATGGCAAACAAAACTGTTGTCATTCAAATGACAACAGCTTAATATTTTCATCATTATGTATAGGATCATAACTCATTGTATAAAGATATTGACTGCATACTCTGCAATTTCTTATGGATGATAATGGAATGGTGCACCTGCCTGCGCTAACAGTTTACACTAGCTGGGCACCAGTAGAGGATGAAAAGATTAGCATGAATTCAGATCAGTTAGCCATCATGGTAAATTCACCAGGATTTATCACAATGGTTTCCAGGGGGAACCATGAGGAGTTCAGCCTGACATGGTACATTCTTAGCAATGGGGTTATAGTCTACATTACTAAGAACCCCCTTCCCCCCTCTCTGTCATATTTCACTCTCCGACAGAACCACAGCAAAGAAGCTGCTTTGACTAACTAAAATGGGTGAGATTATCTGGCAGATGACTTTATACAAAGTCTATTTCATCTTCTGTTTACCTGATTTTCATAAGGCATATTCCAATATGGGATTGTGGCATCCTTCAATCTTTCTTCTTGACTTTTTGTAGCATCTTCTTTTTTCTTCTTACCTTGTACTGTATCTTCTTCATCTTGTTTTCTTTTCCTTACTAGAGGATCTGGTGCTGGTTTGGCTACTTCAGCTATCAGTGTTTTACCTTTAAATAAATACACATCTAGAATATTCTAGAGTTACAATTGGTCAAATATGGCATATAAACCAATTTTTTTAAATATTATGGAGAATAAGCACTCATTAGATTAGATTTAATTAATAGTTGTGCCTGCAGTTTCACCTGTGTGAAATTATAGCCTAAATATTATTCTGATGTACAATCTAACTGCTAAGCTACTGTAAAGTTGCATCAAAATCCATTCAGCAGTTTTTGTGTGAAAGATTAACAAACATCCATACTCACAAACTTTTGCATTTATAATATTATTAGGATAAAATAAGAGAAGTTATTGGCTAGGAATGTATTGGATGTAATTATACTTCTTAGACATAGAAACACATAATGAGAAATCATGGTACCAATTCCTTAATTAAGATACCATAAACTTTTTACTAGACAATATGGTGACAAGATACAAAGATGTAGAACAGGATGAAATTGTTGATGTAATTTTTTATGGGGAATTAATCAAAAAAGCATACAGAAATTAAATATGGACTTCTTGAAGTACTAATTTTTTGTAGATAATTTTACAGGCATGAACATGTAAGAAACTTTTTTACCTTTCCAAGAATAACCATTAAGAGCTGTTATAGCCTTGGTTCTTTCATCATCGTTTTGGAAGCATGCATACAGCCAGTGGCTGCCATTCTTAGGTCGTTTTATTTTACTAGTGTTAAGACTAAGTTTCTGATTCATTAGTTTCTTTAATTCCTAAAAAATAAATTGTATATTAACAATTTATATATATAAATATGCATAATTTGGTCTCAAATTATAAATATTATTACTTACTGCAATTCCATAAAACTTAGGTAGCCCTCGTAATTCAATTTTAAATTTCTCTGAAGAGAAACCACCTCTATCTAAATACGCATACTCCTCATCTATTTTATCATTTTCTTGATTTACATTATTTTGTGGAACTACCTCTGTATTTTCTAACATTTTAATTCAAATTCAGAAGTCTATAAACTCAAGTACCTTAGATGATTTTTGTGAGATAAGAGAGGAAAAATATAATTCGAAAGGAACTATTATTATTACTATTATAATATCATCAATAGCAATAGATGCGATTCTATGCCAGCTGTATCATATTTGTTTATTAATTTTAGGTTATGTATGTTTATTTTTCTGAAGAACGTGAACAAAACGACATTGAACATTTGATAAATGACAGCAAAGAATATACTACCAGTGGCACTCAATGAGGAAATAGCCATTATTATTGCTCAAAGTTGCATATAGATGGCGTGATTGGTATCGATGGAATTCTTCATAGTTTTGCAAACGTTTTAAAAAACAAAACTGTGTTTTCAAAATAGTTTAATCCATTTTAAAAAAATATATATACATGTTAAAATGAAATAATGCGTTTAGAAAAGTAATTTTCATATATTTACTCATTTTGTTATTTTCCAGTACTTAATTACACTTTAATCAGTGCTAATACGGGGCTCAATGTTTTCAAAATGCTTTCATAGATGGCATTGTTGTCATTTGTATCGGCCTAATTAAATGTCTTTTTTATATTTTCCAATAATAAGCACTTAATATATTATTATTGTAAATTAAACATATAAAAAAAGTTTAAGTAAATTAAAAATAGCCGAACAAGCAAATAATACTATTTCCAATAATACTTATGTATGAAGTGTTGTCATATTAAAAATAAATACATGTATTATCGATTTTTTTAATAATCGATAACAGGATTTTATTACAGCGCATTATTCGATGATGCTCTAATGAGTCGTTGTGAACAGTAAATTTTCATTATTTTGTATTAAGTATAGCAGTATTCCGTTTCAAAGAACGGAATATAGTAGTACATTATTAGTGTCGTTGGTTATTTACATTTTTACTGAAAAATCGATTACATAATAATTTAAAATATCGAGTACGAATCGTAGCTGTCTTCGAATACTGGCAACTGGTAAGATTAAAATAGTTTTAAAAAAAGAGAGAAATCGACCCTAACTCGAATACCATAAAGTTTATTTTCCTTTCTCATTAATATCATAGCAGTTTGTTTTTAACTTGCGTATGACTCTGTGGTATGATGTTTAACGTGTATTGTTATTGTACGGTGCATACATTTCAAAAATTATATTTTAATGTAGGTACAAACATTTCTTTCATACATTTCATACATGTCAAAAATTATCTTTTAATGTAGGTACATACATTTCTTTCATACATTTCATACATGTCAAAAATATCTTTTAATGTAGGTACATACATTTATTTCATACATTTCATACATTTCAAAAATGAACTTTTTATGTAGGTACATACATTGTTTTCATACATCTCATACATTTCAAAAATTATATTTTAATGTACATACATTTCTTTCATACATTTCATACATTTCAAAAATGAACTTTTTATGTAGGTACATACATTTCTTTCATGCATTACATACATTTCAAAAATTATATTTTAATGTAGGTACATACATTACTTTCATACATTTCAAAAATTATATTTTAATGTAGGTACATACATTTCTTTCATACATTTCATACATGTCAAAAATTATCTTTTAATGTAGGTACATACATTTCTTTCATACATTTCATACATGTCAAAAATTATCTTTTAATGTAGGTACATACATTTCTTTCATACATTTCATACATTTCAAAAATGAACTTTTTATGTAGGTACATACATTGTTTTCATACATCTCATACATTTCAAAAATTATATTTTAATGTAGGTACATACATTTCTTTCATACATCTCATACATTTCAAAAATTATATTTTAATGTAGGTACATACATTTCTTTCATACATTTCATACATGTCAAAAATTATCTTTTAATGTAGGTCCTTACATTTCATACATTTCAAAAATTTCATACAATACAATTCTTTCATACATTTCAAAAATTATCTTTTAATGTAGGTGCATACATTTCACACATTTCAAAAATTTCATACAATACGTTTCTTTCATACATTTCAAAAAGTATTTTTTAATGTAGGTACATAACACCCCATGTCAGACCCCTTATATTTGGAAGAAACTTAAAAATAATGCCAAAAATATTAGATGAATATATTTTTAATACGAATATTGTTTTATTTTTGTTCATCAACTTTATCCCTCACTAACAATACTAGTAGTAGTACATAACCTGGTTTATACCGCTAAAGATATTGAAAGATATACGAGTAATTCAGAATGTTATCAAGTTCAAAATAAGCACACATTACTTGCTTAGATAACAGAGTAATATTACTAGTAATAAAAACATTTGTAATACCCATATGTATACTACGTATGTATAGTAAGTACTTACGCTGCGGCGCCGTGAGACTCGTCTAAGTACTTCATCTACTCATCTACGCGCGGTAACCGCGCCGACCGACCAATAGGATAGCGCCTCTCGTGTTTCCAGAAAGTTCGCGACTAACGGACGATATAGTAGTAAGGCAATGAGTGTCCCAGTGATATCATTATAATATTTTCTCGTTAAATTTTATTGTAATATACACAATTTCGCACTAAATAACGTGTTACCCCGTTACACATTTCTAATAATGAAAAACCTAGACCGACCCTGTTCACTTAATCTTACAAGATCTGACTTTAAAAATTACGATATCCTCATATAGCCTTTCATTTCCCCTTTCAATACTTTTTCGCATTAAAAAGTAGCCTTTCTCAGGGTCTACATTATCTGTCTACCAAATTTCAATTAAATCAGTTCAGTAGTTTTGGCGTGAAAGCGAGACAAACAGACAGACTGAGTTACTTTAGCATTTATAATATTTGTAAGAATATCGCTATTAAAAATAGGGGTTGTGAAAGACGGGTGAAAATTTAGGCGTGTATGTATTTTCAATGTAACATTATAAATAAATAAAAAATTGTCCATAATACAAAAAAATATTTTTTCGGGGTAGGCCACCCCTATGACTTAGGGGTATAAAAAATAGATAACAACCCTACCTCAGATGGGAAGTATACATATCAAATTTCATCAAAATGTGGGAGAAATATGGCAACTAACACTGTGATACAAAATTTATATATAAGATATAGCGGAATTCTCATTAGGTAAAAGAGGGGTACATCGTAGAATACATGAGGTATATACCAGTAAATTAATTGTAGCTAAAATCAGTCTCATACATATAACGATTGAAATAAAAAATCGTATAGCCCGATTTTGATACGTACGAGTATAAACGTATCAAAATCAGGCTATACGTATAGCGCAGACGCGTTACAACATATCAAAAAAAATAGGCATGGAATGTAAAATAAACCATAACACAATAGATATATACATTGGCACATAAGCCATATCTGCAGAGTGTCGGCTAACGATATTATACCTACACATTTACATTGAATCTTGAATCGTCCCTAATGAGGTACACGATACAGTTACCTACATATCTATTATATACATATCTTTGCAAAACAGATGTCATGTAGACTGAATTCACTGCCATCTATTTTCATGCTTTGTTACTAAGCACCCACTAGTAATCCGAACTGCTTCAGATCTAGCGACATCTAGCGGCTACGGTGGCGAAATAAAATAGCCCGAAGAATAGCCCGAGTTAGGAAGGAACCATTTTCTTGTATGGGATGGGGTATCTGTATGTAATATTATGTTATCTGTGATACTACTCAAGAGAATGACAGTGTCAGACGCATTATAGCCACAGTCGGTCATGATGGCACAGATAATTATACAAGTCAAGGTACTGATGAGAATGTAATCACTTTGTTTTTAGAGTAGTACTTTTACTCTTGATGGATAACTATGACAAAAATCTAACGTAAATTTTATTTTTTGTACAACTAATATGGCTCACGAGAAAATTTAAAATACAAAGTAGCCTTGGTCGTGGCGTATATATAAAGAAACTAAATAAAATCGTTTACTGCTTGGATAGCGTAATAATAATAGGAATAGGAACTTAAATATGTATGTACTGCAATCGATACAATTCTTATTGGGTGTCGACCAGATTTGAGCGTAAGTTAAGACGTTCTGAAGAACACCGTATAATATTAACAATCAAATATACAATGCTTTTAAATATTTTTACACACAATTTTTATAAATATACACTGCGGGTTGTAAGTACATTTATTTAATCAAAATCACAAGAGATCACAATGTATGAAAAATAGGTATAGACAAAGCTAACAGATTTGTCGTGAAATTTATATACCCGGGACTGTTGGCACCATTCTCGCTGTGTATGGCACAGCCTAAAAAGCATAATTTAGATGACCACATCTTTAGGCACATTAAGTTAAGAAACAGTTCTTTTTTTAATTGAGCTGTTACATTTATTTATATATCTATATGTTTTATACCATTCTCTGTATAGCGACACTCGGCTATATTAACATTTTTTGTTCACAACACACTCAGTATATCCAGTCAGTTCCAGTCTGAATAATAAAATACGTATTTCATGTTTGTTTTATATGAGTCAAAGTGTCTATATGTGCATATCAGTCCGCAAAGCAACTTAAAGACTAGATTAAACATAGCATTTTAATAAAAACTACTAAGTAAGTGGGTATATGAAAATATTCAATTTATATAAATATGAAAAATTTAGAATAAGAAAAATAGACTATAGCATAATATATTCTCAGTGCCAGAGTAACACTGTACAAGGTACACAATATTTGGAGGCACAATTTTTGCTCATGCACTGTTAAGTACCATTTTGTTCATTACTGAACATATTTTTCAAAGCATCCTTGTCTTGTTCTTCTTTCTGTTTGCAGAGTTTTTTAATATTCTCTAGCTCCTTGTCAACGGTGGCACTTACAGATGGGTTCAAAATTTTTAGCTTTTTAAAGTCCTCTATAGCTAATTCTGGATTCCAAGCCCCAACATGTGCTTTCCCTCTTCTATACAAAGCCTTTTCATTATCTGAAAATGTTGAATTTTTTTGTGAAGCTAATAGAAGAATTAATATGAAGTATATTAGTGGAATACAGTTTCCATACCTTCATCATATTCTAGAACTGTGTTGCAATGTTCTATGACAGCATAATAATCTCCTTTGATAAGTTTACACTGTGCATAATTTAATAATATAGGAAGCTTTATTTTGTTTAGATTTATCCATTCATCATCTGTTTTCCTTTCTCTGTGAATAAAATTAAAATTACAAATACTTACTTATAAAAAACATAAAAAATATCCTATTAAATATAGCTAAATATTACCTAATCATTAACTGTTCACATATAGCAATAGCCTTACTATAAGCCTCTTCAGCTTCATCATAAACTTTCTGACCATACAACTTATTTCCTTTTTCTTTGAGAGTTGGTATCAGTTGTAGTCGTTCTTCACTACTGTACTGCCACACTTCTTTTTCATATTCATCTGATTTTTCAACCTTTAGTAGTTCTAAAAAAAAAATATGTCACTTTAAAAGTAAATGAATGTGATAATAAGGAGAAAATATAGTTGATAAATAGCAGAGTATCTCAATATGTTCTCTATGTTCTAATTAAAATGCAAAAAAATATACAGTTTTCAGTAAACCTACCTAAATCTTGAACATTGGTAAGGTTGGACCCTTACCAATGTTCAAGATACTATTATTATTACTATATAGAACTGAATAGAATAGAATAGAAAATCATTTATTCAAATAAACTTAATTTAGGCACTTTTGAATAGTCATAACAATTTGTTTTTTATCTACCACTCGTTCGGAAAGCTGTCTCATCACAAGAAGAACGGACAAGAAACTTGTGTGTTGCTCTTTTAAATAATCCTTGTAAGTTTACATTTACAAGTCGAAACGTGTGAATACAAACTACCAACAAGCACTAATTTTTGGGTCAAATATAAATATGCAATAAGATTAAATCAGTCGTAGTGATAAGAGCAGACCAGTTCCTACAAGCAGCACTCGTTTCACGAGTATGACGGATGAGCCAGCCATCACTGCGCTCGACCATATTTTAGGGAGCCCAATGACCCGGCCCACCACGCCGCCACATGTCTGGACATTTTAGTGAGCATGACTACTCATTCCACACGACCACGTCACAGCTACAAAAATTACTATATGGTAGTTACAGCATTCGTACTTTACATAAGGATGCATGCGGCAATCAATACAAAAGCCGCTACGCTATCATATATCAAGAAAGCAGTATGAAAATTAAAATTATAACGTTGTCCGCAAATAAACTTATTCTTGCTATCATCTATAAATTCATCTATTTTATAATAGGCTTTTTTACATAACATTTGTTTAATATAAGATTTGAATTGCCTCTCTGTAAGATTTAGCCTAGACTCTGGCAGTTTATTATAGAATCTTACGCAATTACCATAAAATTAATTACTAACTTTGTGCAGACGACATTTAGGTAAAATTAGCTTATTTTTATTGCGTAAGTTTCTACTTGTACAGTCTTTAAGTTTCTTGAAACTATCTAAATTTTTCCTTGTATACATAATATTTTCATAAATGTACTGTGAGGCAACGGTGAGGATTTGATTGTTTAAAGCATTGACGTAATGACTCTCTAGAACCCATACCATAAATAGAACATATGGCTCTCTTTTGTAAAATAAATATAGTATTTACATCGGCAGCTTTACCCCACAGCAGTATGCCATATGACATAATGCTATGGAAATAACTAAAATATACAAGTATTGATACATTACGACCAATTTTAAACACTAACGAAGTATCATCCGCAAATAACACTATATCTGCAACTTTCTCTACCATGTAGGGAAGGTCATTTATATAAATTAAAAAGTGAAATGGGCCTAATATTGAACCTTGAGGAACGCCCATTTTTATATTAGTTCCCTTATACTTTACACCATCAATATCTACAGTTTGCACCCTATCCTCTATTCATTAGACTTAGGTCATTATCTCTAATACCATAATGTTTGAGCTTGTACAAAAGTGTTTCATGATCTACGCAATCAAACGCCTTCGACAAGTCACAAAAAACGCCGAGAGCATGCTGTGAGTTTTCCCATGATTCGAAAAAATTAAATTAACATTCTCTTGTTAATAATAATCAATATAAATATAAAAATAGAAAGATAGTAATTAGCATTAAGAACAAGAAATAAAATAATAGTAATTAAAGTTTTACCAATAATAAATTCCAAATCGGATGGATTATTGATTAGGTCATCTAAATCAGGATAGCCAATGCCTTCTGTGTGTAATGTCATAGTGCAAGTATGTTTTACTTTGTGTGTCTCCTGACCAAGTTCTCGCAATGTTTTAGACACAAATGGGTAGCTATATACCAACTGTAAATAAGTCACAACAGTTAATTAACAATTTATATATTTTTTATTTTATTAAATTTTGTAATCTAACGACTAACACTCTAACAAAATCTATCTGCTAGGACTAAATTAAACTGACACAATCAAAATGGACATAGATAATATATATTTGGTAAGTCCCATGAAAGATTTGAATATCCTTGGAAAATTAAAGGCTACCCAATTTCTGATTACAGTTTTATAATTGTATAACTACAGTAAGCAATTACAAAGCAAGCAAAATTTACTAATTTCATAAAACATTATGTCCATATATGAATGTAATTACACAATACTGAAATGAATGTATTTAAACATACCTCTTTCTTCACTGTGAAACTTGCTACTTCACCAACAGCCATCATTTTCACAACAGTTTCCCATACCTCCAATTTGAATTTGTGACCTATTACTAAAACCATAGGTTCTTTCTTGCCAATTTTCTTACTATCATCAATTAAGATCTTTTCTTTTCCCAGTTTCCATGTTTGAAAATGGAAATGTGCCTGAAAATTATGATAACAAATTTAAATAGTAGGAAAAACATTCACTGTATCAATATCTCTATTTTAGTCAGTTTGAATTATCAGCCAGCATAAAACTTTTTTAACAGCTTCTTCAAAACATCATCAAATTAATTGAAACAATAGCGAAGATTAATTTCTATTTTATGTAAATGTGCTTATTGAAAAAAGATCACTATCATTATATAGTACAATGATATATGTAGGTACATAGAATTCAAAACCAGACTTTACCTTACTGCCGTTAGCAATAGCTATATACTTTTGACCTGCATGTAGCACATTTTTGACAATGGGAGAGTTAGCAGCACTCATTGTTTAATAACAATTAAATTAGTTTAGCAGTAATTCAATTAATTATATTTATTTCCTCGAGTTAACTTCCATTAATGTACAGATTTAATCGTTTTATTTTTGTAAAATTTTAAGTAAGATTTGTCAGAAATTATAATGTATTTGAAACATTTGGATTTGTCTAATAGATTAGTTGCACAAAACTATAAAATATTGGAACTTAAATAGAAATTGTTATTTATATACTTATTATTATTATAGCATAAATAATGAAATAGGAAACTATTGTCTTGTTATCTATTTGACTTTTGTTTGAACAGTGATACTGTAACACTGACAGCGGTCTGTTTTTGATTTTGACATTAAGAACAACAAATATCATAATCTTGGATAAAAAACTTTTAATCAAGCTTTGAAAAAAAAATTATGCTAACATTAACTAGTACCAACATTATAAATTTATTCTAGATATGAAAAAAAAAATTAAGAAATAAAAATTGTTGCTAACATTAACAAGTTCCAAAATTATAGGTAGAATATACGACATTAATTAGTGCTTGATTCAGCGTGACTTGAATCGAGAAATCGTGAGTAATGAACGATTGATTTTGAGTTCCTTTCATTTGAATGAAAGATACACTGAATGAATGAATTATTTGTAATTTTCTTGAATACGTACTTTTGTAGTTTAGAAAGAATAATAATTTGAATTTTAATTAATATTAATCCTAATCTAATTTCGTTAAATGTTTTAAACAATTAAATACAAGTACAGCTTTTCGTTAAAGTAGAAATGGCTGATTTTCTGGAGTCCGAGGCGGAGGAGAGCGAGGTTAGTGCTATGTCCAAGTTGTAATCTTGAGTTTTGGATTGCGTGTAGTAATTGTTTTGTGTATTAAACCTTATAACTATACGTTTTATCTTCGTAGTTGGATTCTGAAGATGAACAGCCAACTGAGCGTAAAAAACCCAAACGCAAGGCAGCAGTTCAGAGCGATGATGAAGACGAAGAAGAAGAAGGTAAACGGAACTATTTGACCTAAAATTGAGCACGTCTAGGTTATTTCACGCTTAGTTTTATTATTTATTGATCTGTCTCGACGCCAGGTTTCTTTCTATAAATACTACTGCGTCAGTTCGTTGTTTGATAGAAATACTATGCCATGTTATTAAACCTATAACTTAGGTTTAGATTATATACACTGCATAATTTCTTGCTTAAACGTTACTTGAAAGATTTGCATAAAAACTATAGTTGTAGTAAGGTATTTACCATTTCATAATGTTTGTTACATGAGCATAACCATAAAATTATCAATAACCTAGACACAGTAAAATAATCACACCTACCTATATAATTTAAAACCCAAAAAATGGAGGCTACTATTGTGATTTTTGTAAAGGTCCTTAATGAATTTCCTATCAAGAATTTGACTCCAATCTACAACTTTAGTATTTAAGTGATTGTTGTTTATTGGCTAATCAGTCCTTAATTAAAAACAAACAAAAATGAAATCTAACTTATACTATGCCATTAGTTCTATACCATCTATGGACACTTCAGGTGCTTAATTAACTAACAGTTATACCAACAATTCTTTTTGAAATGGATTAAAATCTATAAGCATTACAACAATGTATGAATTATTCTCTTGTTACTATTGTAAACATACAGCTTTTGTACCTATTCTCAAAATGGTCCTAGAAAACGCCAAACTTCTCATATATATACAAACAACTCATTGATCATATATAGGGCCCTTATATAAAAAAGCTCCATCTCATTGCTTTTTACACTTTTGACATGTTCTACATTTATACATTCATTCAAAGTAAAATATGTAACTTACAGATGATGAGGAGCGGTTACGTGAAGAGTTAAAGGACTTGATTGATGATGCTCCTATAGAAGAGTCCGGTAGTGATGGTGAGGATTCTGATGCCAGTTTGCGTAAGAAGAGAAAAAAAAGTGATGATGAACTTGATGATAGATTAGAAGATGAAGATTATGATTTAATTGAAGAAAATTTAGGTGTTAAAGTAGCTAGGGTAAGTAACATTGAAAATTATTATATTTTAAGGAGATATATTTAGTTGAAAGTTGCCTGCATTTTGTAAGCTATGATAATGTAAGCGGCTTTCAGTTTGATGAGGGAGAGATTATATAATATTGGTAGTACTATTTAGAAATAGAAATATTTATTCATTTAAACTTAATATGAGCAATTTTCTTAAGTCTATATATTTTTTTAAACCAGTTCTTTTAAATAAATATTCAGAATCAGATTTTTAAAATTTTGTGTGAATATAAACTGCCAAACAGCAAAGTAGACAAGTATAAAAATAGTTAGTTGAGTAATAAAAAAAATAAAAGTAACTAACAACTAAATAATTGCAACAAAATTAAATTACTTCATATCCAGAATTATAATATAAAACTTTGTAAAAAGGATTGTTTGTCTACTAAAATGATTTATTTTCCCCTAGAATAAGTTTAAACGTCTCCGTCGATTAGAGGATGATGATAGTGACAATGAGGGTGCTGATGACCCCGAGCTGGAAAGGGAAGTCATTGCAGAGAAATTATTTGTTGGTGGCTCTGATGAGGTAAGTTTAATATCTAATACAGTTCATCCATGTCAATCAATATGTATATTATGTAAATTTGTCAGGATTTTGTAGTCTATATTTTTAAAATTATTTCTTCTGACTGACTATTAATGTACACAAGTTTGTACAGCTATTTTTACGGATTTATTGGTAATTCTTCTATTTCCTGTGACAATGAGAATATAGATGCTAAGGAAATAGGATGTTTTAAACATCCTATTTCCTTAGCATCTACATGTATATTATATATGAAAATTAGGGCCTGTTTTTTTTATAATTGGGGTTCAAGGATACTGTGGTTAGGTCCTTCTAGGGACAACTATGTCATGTCATTAATATATATTTTTATCCTGTATTGATTTAAAAGTTTCTTACATTAAGAATTTTTATTAAATCCATTAATAGATTTTTTTAATCCATATATTATGCACATTGCTCATAAAAGTACTTAAAACTCAAATCCTTTACAATTGGTAAAAAAACACTATATTCATTATTATTTTTTTAATAATGTACTTTTTACAACTCATATTTTTAATGACATAAACTAATTATATTAACTGTAAGTTTATTCCATATACTTTGTCACAAAAATAATGCAAAATTTTCAATCAGGAGGATGAAAACCGCTCAGAGTCTGCGGCTCCAAGAGAGGTGGAGTATGATGATGAGAATGAAGATGTGGAGTCAGATGCGGATGACTTCATTGTAGATGATGATGGCAGACCTATAGCTGAGAGAAAAAAGAAACGCAAACTTATATTCACTGATGCGTATGTCGATATAAATATTGTATTATAAGTTCACATACATATTTTATTACAAGTAAATAATCTTAATGTACTGTCATTTCAATTGGCAATATATTTTGAGTTTGAAATATGATATACAGCAGTGAAATTTCAGGGCAGGGATTAAACTATTTAGTATCCTGAAAGGATAATGCAGGAGAGGTAACATGGGCCTCATAATGTATATTGTGAAGTCGGTGTTCCTGCTCATGTATATGTAATTGTTATCACTTTCTGTGTACCCTGTCATTCTAATGTCGTAAAAAGTATTAATATTAATCAATTATTATTTTTCTTATTCAGTTCCTTGCAAGAGGGTCAAGACATTTTTGGTGTGGACTTTGATTATGATGAATTTGAAAAATATGGGGATGAGGATTATGAGGATGAGGAAGAGGAAGACCTGGATGAGTATATTGAAGATGAGGATGAAGGTTTGTAAATATTTATTTAAGGTTTATTGCATAATAAAATCTGTACAAAAGGAGACCTAAGCTATGGGTTTCTCTATGGGCTAATGTCTTATATGAAATATAACACATGCTATAGTTCCTATCAAATGTTCTATTATTTAAGATTATACTTTTTTTAGGCGCTGGAAAAAGGCCAAAGGGTAAATCTAAACGCCCCAGTAAGAAATCTATATTTGAGATATATGAGCCGAGTGAGTTGAAGAGAAGTCATTTTACGGATTTGGATAATGAGGTAAATTATACAATATACTAATGTTGATCATATTGAGAGACAATTATTTTCTTTGTGTATAAAACATTTAACTATTAATAGTATACATTCATCATCTTGTTCTTCATTCATTCATCACCAGAGAGTGAGAAAGAATGATTAATTGACACAGTTTTTTGTGTGATCCATATTGGAACTTAGTACCTAAGTAAGTTGCGGTAGTAAACCTCTGGGTCATAATACTATAAATTATTATTATAATGTTTTAATAAAAATATGTTGATTTTTCTTTAATACTGTACATTATTCAAGTATTCATAATAACTAGATAATTTCTTCACTAGATACGCAAAACTGACGTACCTGAGCGTATGCAAATCCGCGAAGTACCCATAACAGCAGTGGAGGAAGGCAGCACCGAGCTAGAGGATGAAGCTGAATGGATATACAAGCAGGCATTCCTCAAACCACCCGTCTCTAAAGCTGACTCGCAGGAAGCCAGGGAACGATCGCGCAGGTAAATGAAATTTATAATGAATAGAATAGGTCCATTGAGTTTCTTGGCAGTGCATCTCAATTGTAAAAAATATTCGCTCCTATTTATATCATTACTTCGGAAATTAATATTTATATGGTTGAAATGAAGTTTATTAGTATTATTAAATTTTGTTTATAGGGGCCCAAGTACTATAACAAAGATCCGTCAAGCACTGGACTTCATGAGGAATCAGACCCTGGAAGTTCCATTTATTGCATTTTATCGCAAAGAGTACGTGCAACCGGAGCTGAGTATCAATGACTTGTGGAAAGTTTATAAGTATGATGCAAAAGTGAGTATGATATCACAGGTTAAATAATAACAAACCAGGACAATCCACACAGCGCCATCTAGTACAAAACTAAATATAATGTGTACAGTTAAAACATTGAATATCTCATTCAAATATGTATTTAAAAATTGTTTTTCACATATACATAAAAGTACCAGACCAATTCAAGCAACATTGTATATTATTATAACTCTATTTGTATGAAAGGATATAAATGTTTATATCCTGCAAGAAAAAAAACTCGTTACCATCGGAAATAAGGCAGTAGTTTATCACTCACATATATACCGGCTAAATATAAAAAACATGAAAATAACTAAATTTAGCATCCTCTATCCGTGTTGTCTTACAGTGGTGTCAATTGAAGCAACGTAAAGAGAATCTCCTCAAACTATTGGAAAATATGCGAGAGTACCAACTAGACAAAGTCATGCAAAACCCTGATGCACCCATACCTGAAAACATGAGACTTATCAAAGACGAAGATATTGAAAGGTAAACCAAATTTACTCACAAAAAAAAGACGCCTAAATAGATATACTTTCCTAACTAGACTAGATATCCGGAATGAAGCAAATTAATTTATATGAGATTGATCCTTCTGTTTTAATCGTATTTACCTAAACTTTTTAGGCTAAAAAATGTTCAAACACCCGAGGAGCTGCGCGATGTACACACACACTTCCTGTTATATTACTCTACTGAATTGCCTGAGATGCAGAGAATACAACGCATCAAAGAAAAAAAGAAGGAACTTGTAGATAAAAAGTAAGTACATTTATTTATATCATATATTATCAGTATTTTTAAAACTGTGTGTAAACTGTTGCAAGCACTAAAGTCGCAAAGAGTTTATCAGGGCGAAAATATCGGTTAAAGTAAAACAAAGATTTCAAAGAAGAAAATGTGTTGGTTCTATATTACAATAGAAACTAAAATTTACAAATATGTATATGTACAAACTTACTTGAAAAGAATAGTTGCCGAGTGTCTTTTCATATAAGAGTCTGTAATAGGCCTATTTGAATATAGATTATTTTCATTTGATTTGATTTGATATGTTTTTAAAATGATTTTTTTCATACAAAGGAGCTTATTTAAAATGTTGACACTGATCTATTACATAAATTCAATAAAAAATAACTGACGTATGCATGCCAGCATGTCACTCTAGCTCGCATTTATTTGAAAAATTAATATTTGCTTGTACTTGTAATTGTCAAGATTAGGTTTGCATGAAAGAAAATGTCTGATAAGTCATACAAAAAAGTATAAATTATGTGTTATAAAATTATTGATGTCCTTTTTATTATTAGTATGGTTAACGGTACTTAAAACAAAAATAAGAGCATATAAAATATTGTTTATGGTTTGTGCTAGGTTTATTATTATATTCCATGCCTGTATATTGTATAGGAGACTAGCACGGGAAGAAGCAGAGAAGAATGGGTTAGATCCTGATGAGGCTGTTGCTGAAGTTGAAGCCAGGGCTTTACAGGAAGATGAAGTAGTTACTGATGTGAAGTATGCAGTGAGGTCGGGACCATATGAACTCTGTAGGAAAGCTGGCATTGGTGAGATATTCTCGATCTTAACTAAACATAAATAATTTATAATAAAGCTTACATTAAAATATAGTTGTTTAGAGATTGTATCAATAAAGAGAATGAGTCTGAAAGAATTATATATATATATACTAGAGGGTGCGTGTGTGCGCGGGCCTCAAGAGGCCCGCGAGGCGTTGTCGTAGATTTTTTTTGTGAAGACGGTTTTCTTTTCGAATAGACTTGGTTGGCAAGTAGAGTTGTCTGTTTTGATACGAAATCATTCATGTGACTTCAAATTGTAACAGTGTGGCAAAACTTTATGTTGTAATGTTCACAATACAAAACCTAACCTAACCTACCTTTCTGTATACTATATTAGTCTAGGGTCAAGTTTTTAATGTAGAGATTAACCTACCTTTTTGTTTACTATATTATTCTGAGGGCATAATTTCTACTGTAAGAGTCGCAATAGAAATCCTAACCAAACGTAACTTTCAGTATACCATTTCGACCTGTGGCTTTAATTTTTATTGCAATAGGCACAATACAAAACCTCACATTACCTACCTTTCTGTATACTATATTAATTTGGGTTCACAGTTTATAATGTAGAAATCATAATACAAAACCTAACCTAACCTACTTTTTTGTTTACTATATTATTCTGAGGCCATAATTTCTACTGTAAGAGTCGCAATACAAAACCTAACCTAACCTACCTTTCTATATACCATTTCGACTTTTTATTTTTTTTTATTTTGGCTTAGCTACCCGGGTGACAAAAACATTTCGTCCATACATTGTCAACTCCTTCTAATAGTTTACTATGAAAACCGATGTATCAAACTTACATCGGTTTTCATAGTAAAGTTTTCCAAATAATTTTGATAAAAGCCTTAGGGTTATTATTTATCGTAGGTAAAGGACCTATGATAAATAATAACCACTCAACACTCTTTTAATTAAAATATCATAAATATTAAAATCGGAGAAAGTTTTTAGCGCTGGCAATACTAAGATTCAATGCCATCCCATAAAAGCGGACTCGCTGCATGGTTACAATGTACCAAAATAAAAAAATCTTCCAAATTTTGTTCAAAGCCAACCTCGGCGACCATCTTGGATTTTTCCATTTTGATACTTCTGACGTATATATTACATGACGACAGATATATTTCGTCCATATAATGTACAGAGACACGGTCCTTTTAAAATATTCGGTCGGTTCCTTAGTAAATATTACTTTCTACGAAAATCTATGCATGGTGTTGCCCCCTAATTTTACAAAAAATTGCATAAAACTATTAAGATGAGATTTATTATAGATACCCGTCACTTTTATGTTTAAATGTCGAAAAAAAATTCCCACATTTAAGGTTTGCAAAATTACCCAAAAATCGGGGAAAATTTGTAGCCTATATAATACTTCACGTCTTTGCTCCATAGAAGTAACTTGCTGTAAGAAATAAAATACTACCCCAAAAATGAGTTTTAAAACGTCCCTAAACTTGTCATCGGGAATAAAGTACCCTAACTCGGCCGCCATCTTGAATGATTCCATTTTAAATAGTTGTTTTAACATATACACCTTGGTGAGAAACATTTCGTCCATACATTGTACAGAGCCAAGGTAACTCCTTCTAGTAGTTCCTAAGTACTGTTTACAATGGAAATCTATATATGGTGTTGCCAGCTCATTTTAACAAAAAACACCTAAGACCCCTTGGGGATTATTTTTGACAGATCGTCATCATTGTTTGGTCTAAAATGATGAAACAAAAAATTCCACGTTTTTTTTTACTTCTCTCCGATATTACCCTAAAATCGGGGAAAATTTTTAGACCAGATAGTGCTTCGTACCCAGAGTTTCCACTGTTCCATAAAAGTCAACTCGCTGCAGTGACGATGGGTACCTGAAAATTGAATTTAAAAAAGTACCCTAACTCGGCCGCCATCTTGGATTTTTACTTCTTAATACTTTTGACGTATTCACCCTAATAACAGAAACATTTCGTCCATACATTATGTAGAGTCTCGGTGACTTCTTCTTGTACTATTCCCTAAGAAAACTGATCTAAGATGTTGCCAAATAATTGTGACAAAAACCAATAAGGGGATGATTTTTGACAGATATCCATCATTATTTTGTTTGAAATATCGAAAAAAAAATCCCACATTTTGGACTTGTCTTCTAAATTACCCAAAATCGGGGAAAATTTTCATACCATTTTTCCTTTTTCGTCCATATATTGTACAGAGACACGATCCTTCTAGTGGGTCCTTAGTAAATATTACTTTTTACGAAAATCGATGCATGGTGTTGCCACCTAATTTTACAAAAAATCGCATATAACTATTAAAATGATATTTATTATAGATCTCCGTTGCTCTTATATATAGTTTGTCGAAAAAAAAATCCCACATTTTGGGTTTGCAAAATTACCCAAAAAACGGGGAACATTTGTAACCTAGGTAATATTTCGAACCGAAATCTACCACGGCTCAATAAAGGTCGACTCGCTGCAGGGAAGCCAGGTAAATTTATCATCAGAGAAAAAATACTCAAACTCGGCCGCCACCTTGGATTTTTCCTTTTTTAAATACTTTTAACTTATCCACTTTGGTGACAGAAACATTTTGTCCATACATTGTACAGATGTAAGGTGACTCCTTCTAGTACTTCCTTAGTACTGTTTACTATGAAAATTAGTTAATACTTCGCACCGAGAGTTTCCATTCCTCAATAGAAGTCAGTTCGCTGCAGGGTTGATAGGTGCCACAAAACTGAATTTACTAAAAAGACCTTAAAATTGTCATAATAAATAAAGTATCCTAATTCGGCCGCCATCTTGGATTTTTCCTTTTTAAATACTTTTAACACATACATTTTGGTGACAGAAACACTTCATATATACATTGTACAGAGCCCAGGTTACACCTCTAGTTCCTTAGTACGGTTTACTATGAAAATCGATGTATGGTGCTGCCAGATGATTTTGACAAAAACCACCTAGGATCCTTTGGGGGATGATTTTGAACCAATGCTCATCACTGTTTTGTTCAAATTAACGAAAAAAAAAATTCCCACGTTTTTTTACTTTTCTCCGAAATTACCCCAAAATCGGGGAAAATTTTTAGACCAGGTAAAATTTTCCACCGAGAGTTTCCATTGCTCTATAGAAGTCAACTCGCGTCAGGGATTAATTGTACCCCAAAATTGAATTTTAAAAAGTCCCTAAAATTGTCAACATAAATTAAGTACCCTAACTCGGCCGCCATCTTAGATTTTTACTTTTTAATACTTTTGACATATTCACCCTAGTGACAGAAACATTTCGTTCATACATTGTATAGAGCCTCAGCGACTCCTTCTAGTTCTATTCTCTAAGAAAACTGATGTAAGGTGTTGCCAGATAATTCTGACAAAAAACACCTAAACTCAATAGGGGGATTGTTTTTGACAGATTTTCATCATTCTTTTCTTTGAAATGTCCAAAGAAAATTTTCCCACTTTTTAGGACCTATCTCAAAAATTACCCTAAAATCGGGGAAAATTTTTATACCAGGTAATACTTTGTGTTGAGACACATCATCTCTCCATAGTAGTCGACTGGCTGTGGGGTTGCCAAGTGTCCTAAAACTACATTTAAAAATATCCCAATTTTTCTCCGAAAAGCAAAACTCCCCTATCTCTGCCGCCATCTTGGATTTCTAAAATTTCATAATTTTCCCTAGAGGCCGAGTCCTTCGGCTATCCGACGCCGTACAGTGCGTTGAGCTAGCGTACTCGTAGGTACCCTATCAATTTCAGTTTTTGAAGCTAGACCTCAATTTCAAAATTTGTCCGATGATGTATGGGTGTTGCCAGCAAATTCTGAAGAAATCCACCTAAAACCCTTCAGGGGACGATTTGTAGTAGACCAAAACGAGTTCTTCATTTAAAATGTCAAAAAAAAAAATTCCCACTTTATGGGACTTTTTTCCAAAATTAACCCAAAATCGGGGAAAAATTTTAGACCTGGCAAATCTTCTTACTCAGACTTACCCATGTCAGTAGGTGGCGTTTAGCTGCAGGGTTGCCATGTGCAGCAAAAACTCGATTGAAAATATCCCAAATTTTTTCCAAAAACTAAATCTCCCATAGCTTGGTCGCCATCTTGGATTTTTGAAATTTCATAATTTTCCCTAGAGGCCGGGTCTTTCAGCCTCCCAATGCCCTATAATAGGGATCGGTAGCTCCCCCGCAAGTACCCTAGGAATTTCAGTTTTTGGAGAGACACCCCAATTTCTATTTTGGTCAAACCATGTATGGGTGTTGCCAGCAAATTCCAACAAAACCCACCTAAAACCCTTTAGGGGATGTTTCTCGATAGGCCTTGATGCCTCTTTTGTCAAAAATGCCGAAAAAATTTTTTCCCACTTTTTGGGACATTTCTCCCAAATTACCCTAAATTCGGAAATTCTTTTTATCGCTGGCAATACTTCTTACCGAGACCCATCATCGCCCCATAGAAGCCGACTCGCTGCGGGGTTGCCCTGTACCTAAAAAAAAATGATTTTGAAAATAATCCGGATTTTTAGGACCAAATTCACACGCCCCCAACTCGTCGGCCATCTTGGATTTTCGAAATTTCATAATTTTCCCTAGAGGTCGGGTCCTTCGAGTTTCCTATGCCCTACAACCGGTGTCGCCAGCACCCCCGCAACTACCCTGGGAATTTCGGTTTTTGAAACCCTAGAAAATTTTCAACCAGTTTTTGGCAATTTTTTCGCCGCCATCTTGGATTTTAATTTTTTGTTTTTACGCCATATTCTGGGTCCCGCCGAGACGTGCCAAATCACTCTTTGAACGGAATCGATCCGAGCGAAACTGTAAAAGTTAGCCGCCATCTTTGTCCGCCATCTTGGATTTTCCCAAATTTCGGAATTTTCTCGTGGTCACCCTAGCCAAAGGAACATTTCCCCCATACATCGTCTCGACCCCAGACGCTCCTTCTGGGAGAACAACAAAGTCAATCAGTGAGTGAGTCACCGTAATGCAGCTTTATATATTATATATATATCCACTTTGTATAAATTAAACAGTTATGTATTATTTAACATTACATCATCAACGCGAGATGCTTATGAAACTCGGTGGGTTATAAAATAACTAATTATTACTTTTAATATTCAAGTTTATAAAATATTTTTTTTAAATAATGAGTGCCTCTAACTTCGCTATACCTACAGGCCTGACATGGTTAATGTAGCTATCTGTGTGCTATATTAACTTGATTGCCTATTTTGTAGAGCCACTTGTGAAGAAATTTGGTTTGACACCGGAGCAGTTCGCCGAGAATGTACGCGATAATTATCAGCGACATGAGGTCGAACAACAACCTGTACCGCCGCTAGAAGCCGCAGCTGCCTATGTGAGTGCATTTTTTTATGTGTTTGAAATGGTCAGTAAGGGAGCGGACTATCTCATAGATAGTGGCAATCAATACTGAATATTAAAACATTAATAGCACTACAGATATAACAAAATATATTTAGGAATGTAAAAAAAAGTGATTATAATTTTACTTCGAGGCCAACTTATTTTTTTATATATTTTTTCACCTGGTAATCTAGTGGTGTATCTAAAGTTTTATTAGTAGGGATTTCATCACTCCATAATCCAATGGTCACGACGATATTCATTTGCATAGTGATGTTTTCTATTAATATGTTAGGTGCCCCCGCCTGCGCTAACGGTATACGATGGCGAGTCACTAGTTGAAGATGATAGGATAAGTGATTAATCCATTAGGAATTAACTAAAGTCGTTCCTAGGGGGAAATGCGATTATTTATTATAATGAACCATATATAATTGGCAATGGGTCCACTGTATGTCTGTTTTTTTATCACTGAGATAAAATTGACATCAGCTTAGTACATACACAGTAGTGTATGTACCATATGTGAATTTGAAATATCAATATCAATAATATCAATAATCTCAATAATCTCAGGACAATTCACCAGCGCCATCTAGACCCAAGTAAAGCTAGCTACAGCTTGTGTTATGGGTATTAGATGACCGATACAAAATACATAGATTTTGTTTTCGTAAATACATATATACATGGTAAACACCCTGACCGATATAAACAATCGTACTCATGAATTCAAATGTTGCGAGGAATCGAACCCGCGACCATCGGACGTAAAGCGGTGTGCTAGACCGCTAGACCACCGAGGTCGTCAATATATCTTGTATATTACCATACATGGAGTACCAACAACTCTCATAGAATGGATAAACAACATGCTGAAAAACCGTGCAATCCAGTTCACCGTAAACACTACCACACGTGGGATCGTAAGTAGAGGATGTCCACAAGGAGGGGTCCTGTCGCCACTCCTGTGGAACTTAGTTGTTAATGAACTCATTGAGGAGCTCAACGACAACGACCTCTACACGGTAGGTTACGCAGACGACATTGCCGTACTTATATCAGGAAATTTTGAGGGAACCTTATGCGATCGCATGAGAGAAGCCTTCAGAACAATAGAGAGATGGTGCGAAAACCATGAACTCTCCGTGAATCCTTCTAAAACAGAACTCATCATGTTCACCAACAAAAGAGCTCCAGGTACTTTCAATTTACCGAAACTCTTTAATACAGAGCTTAAACTTAAGGAGGAGGTCAAGTACTTGGGAGTCATACTAGACAGCAAACTTCTCTGGAATAAACATCTTGATCACAAAATTAACAAAAGCACAATTGCATTCTATCAATGCAGGAAAATGCTTGGTAATAAATGGGGTGTCTCCCCTGAAAATAACTCTCTGGCTATACACATCAGTAATAAGACCAATGCTGGTATATGGGGCCTTGGTTTGGTGGACAAGGTCGAAACTTACGACCACAGTCAACAAACTAAGATCTTTCCAAAGACTTGCATGCTCCTCAGTTACTGGATGTATGAAAACAACCCCAACAATGGCAATGGAAATAGCCCTTAACATTACACCCCTTGACCTATACATACAGCAAGAAGCAGCTATAGCTGCCACAAGATTATACCATCTTGGTCTATGGGGCAAAAACCATTACAGTTCTCACACAACCATCCTGAACCAAGCAATCGAATATGAACCTTTGATTGCCGCTCCGTGTGACAGAACTCAAGCATACCACTCGTTTAACAGGAAATACCAAATACAATTGAAGGAGGAGGAAAGGGACCAATCTGCAGTAAATGAACTACGCATCTACACAGATGGCTCCAAAACACAGAACGGTTCAGGAGCTGGGGCACATTCCCTTGACCTCAACATGAACATATCTATACCGCTCGGCAAACACAGTTCGATCTTTCAGTGCGAATCTGTATACAGGTTAGGGGTCAACAATTTCAACATTAAATTCATATCGGACAGTGCAGCCGTGCTTAAAGCACTACAGAACAGAAAATCCAACAACAAACTAATAATCGAGTGCCACATCGCCCTGGAAAAAATTGCAACGCATAACGGAGTAATTATCCAGTGGATAAAGGGGCACAGCGGATCATATGGCAATGACGCCGCGGACGAACTAGCGAGAGTAGGATCCGGCATGGTGGTTGCAGGCCCCCTCCCGCTCATGCCAATACCATTCTCGCAATTTCGCACCTGGATTCGCCAGAGATCCACCGAAATACAAAACCAAAGATGGAACCTAACCACTGATTGCAAACAATCTAAAGTGGCAATTCCAAAAACGAACCATCGGTTAACAACACGTCTACTTAATCTAGATAGACAAAACCTAAAAATAATGATAGGGACAATAACGGGCCATTGTTCCTTAAACAAACACTTATACAAAATTGATGCTACAGACAGCCCCCTCTGTCGGGGCTGCTTTGAAGCTGAAGAAACGGCGGCTCACGTAATCCTGGAGTGCACGGCAGTGGCCGAACAACGAAAACAAATCCTCGGAACGGTGAGGTCGCTCCGTGAAGCCTGCGAAGACACCAGGAGTCTTCTGCGCTTTTGGGAGGAGCTTGGCTGGCTACGTTAGTAGTCTGGCTCTACACGCACAACGGCCCGAATGTGAGGCTAATTGCGGAGAATGGAGTCTAACATACCATACCATACCATACCATATATATCTTGTATAATTTCATAGAAATCTTTGAAAATAATTTTATAATCTATATTTTTTGATCGTAAAGGCAGCTATGAGCAACGAAACCGACTTCGGGTAGATAACACCTAATCGTATGTAATATAATCAGACGGGGTCGATCGGGTCTGCGGCGGAGGTGGTGCGGCGCGCGGTGTACATGTGCGGCGTGCAGCTCGCGCGCGAGCCGCAGCTGCGCGGCGCGCTGCGGGACGCGCTCCGCGAGCGGGCCACGCTCTCCGCGCGGCCCACGGCCCGCGGCCTCAAGGAGATCGACGAGAACCACCCCTGCTACAGGTCACCCACTCCACGCTCTCGTTGTCTCTATGTTCGTATCGTGTATCGTGTATCGTGTATCGTGGCGAGCCGCAGCTGCGCGGCGCGCTGCGGGACGCGCTCCGCGAGCGGGCCACGCTCCGCGCGGCCCACGGCCCGCGGCCTCAAGGAGATCGACGAGAACCACCCCTGCTACAGGTCACCCACTCCACGCTCTCGTTGTCTCTATGTTCGTATCGTGTATCGTGGCGAACCGCAGCTGCGGGACGCGCTCCGCGAGCGGGCCACGCTCTCCGCGCGGCCCACGGCCCGCGGCCTCAAGGAGATCGACGAGAACCACCCCTGCTACAGGTCACCCACTCCACGCTCTCGTTGTCTCTATGTTCGTATCGTGTATCGTGTATCGTGTATCGTGGCGAGCCGCAGCTGCGCGGCGCGCTGCGGGACGCGCTCCGCGAGCGGGCCACGCTCTCCGCGCGGCCCACGGCCCGCGGCCTCAAGGAGATCGACGAGAACCACCCCTGCTACAGGTCACCCACTCCACGCTCTCGTTGTCTCTATGTTCGTATCGTGTATCGTGTATCGTGTATCGTGGCGAGCCGCAGCTGCGCGGCGCGCTGCGGGACGCGCTCCGCGAGCGGGCCACGCTCTCCGCGCGGCCCACGGCCCGCGGCCTCAAGGAGATCGACGAGAACCACCCCTGCTACAGGTCACCCACTCCACGCTCTCGTTGTCTCTATGTTCGTATCGTGTATCGTGTATCGTGGCGAGCCGCAGCTGCGCGGCGCGCTGCGGGACGCGCTCCGCGAGCGGGCCATCCGCGCGGCCCACGGCCCGCGGTCAAGGAGATCGACGAGAACCACCCCTGCTACAGGTCACCCACTCCACGCTCTCGTTGTCTCTATGTTCGTATCGTGTATCGTGTATCGTGTATCGTGGCGAGCCGCAGCTGCGCGGCGCGCTGCGGGACGCGCTCCGCGAGCGGGCCACGCTCTCCGCGCGGCCCACGGCCCGCGGCCTCAAGGAGATCGACGAGAACCACCCCTGCTACAGGTCACCCACTCCACGCTCTCGTTGTCTCTATGTTCGTATCGTGTATCGTGTATCGTGTATCGTGGCGAGCCGCAGCTGCGCGGCGCGCTGCGGGACGCGCTCCGCGAGCGGGCCACGCTCTCCGCGCGGCCCACGGCCCGCGGCCTCAAGGAGATCGACGAGAACCACCCCTGCTACAGGTCACCCACTCCACGCTCTCGTTGTCTCTATGTTCGTATCGTGTATCGTGTATCGTGTATCGTGGCGAGCCGCAGCTGCGCGGCGCGCTGCGGGACGCGCTCCGCGAGCGGGCCACGCTCTCCGCGCGGCCCACGGCCCGCGGCCTCAAGGAGATCGACGAGAACCACCCCTGCTACAGGTCACCCACTCCACGCTCTCGTTGTCTCTATGTTCGTATCGTGTATCGTGTATCGTGGCGAGCCGCAGCTGCGCGGCGCGCTGCGGGACGCGCTCCGCGAGCGGGCCACGCTCTCCGCGCGGCCCACGGCCCGCGGCCTCAAGGAGATCGACGAGAACCACCCCTGCTACAGGTCACCCACTCCACGCTCTCGTTGTCTCTATGTTCGTATCGTGTATCGTGTATCGTGGCGAGCCGCAGCTGCGCGGCGCGCTGCGGGACGCGCTCCGCGAGCGGGCCACGCTCTCCGCGCGGCCCACGGCCCGCGGCCTCAAGGAGATCGACGAGAACCACCCCTGCTACAGGTCACCCACTCCACGCTCTCGTTGTCTCTATGTTCGTATCGTGTATCGTGTATCGTGTATCGTGGCGAGCCGCAGCTGCGCGGCGCGCTGCGGGACGCGCTCCGCGAGCGGGCCACGCTCTCCGCGCGGCCCACGGCCCGCGGCCTCAAGGAGATCGACGAGAACCACCCCTGCTACAGGTCACCCACTCCACGCTCTCGTTGTCTCTATGTTCGTATCGTGTATCGTGGCGAACCGCAGCTGCGGGACGCGTTCCGCGAACGGCCATCCTATGTAGGATATAATATCCTAGTAGACTAAGATCATAATTTTACATAATAATAAGATGAAATCAAATATAACATACTTTAAGTGTTTTTTAAATTAAATATTAGTAACTGATATACAATACCTTAATAGTAAAACATTTAACCTAGAGTTATGATAACACTAGGGAATATATAACTATAATAATGAAGTAATTTTTATCTACAGCTTGAAATACCTAAAGAAGAAGCCGGTGCGCGATTTGACTGGCGACCAATTCCTTAAGCTGACGATGGCTGCAGAAGACAAATTAATAGAGCTGACTATCAGTGAACAGATTGAGGGCAACACAAGCCCTAGCTATTTGGAGGAGCTTAAGCAGCTTTATCAAAAGGTTAGTTATTACAATTAATGTAATTTTAGATTAAGTTGTCAACAGTTTTGCTTCGTAGAATTTTCTTACTTACTTTTATTGTTTTAATTCTAGTTTTCCTCCTTTTTAGCTCATGTGCTAAGGTTGTTTCTAGTTTTCTAATACAAATAAATAATGTTGGTAGGACGAGTTCGCCTCTACAGTACAGGCGTGGAACGAACTACGTGCGGAGGCAGTCACTATCGCTCTCAACAAGATCGTGATGCCGGAGTTGCGGCGGGAACTGAACGCTGTGCTGCTACAAGAATCAAAAGAATATGTACTCAAGTATGTTCATAATACAAAAAATATACAAGACAATTAATCTATTATTAGGTTGAAACCTTCACATTAAAGATAACTGAAAAACTACCGGTCAGATCTGGATAATGTTTATATAGATAACCTGAATATTCACAACTTTAAAAAAAAATATCCTAAAAAAAGTGGTCATACATAAACAACACATAAAAACAACAACATAAAAAATATTCGAATTGAGTATTGTCACCTTAAAAAAATATGAACTTTTCTAAACAACAAAAGTATAAAACATTTAGATATTTTATACATGCCTTTTGCTGTTCAATTATTAAAAAAATAAATAATGTACTAGTTTATGCTAGTGGTTGTATATACGAGCGTGTTTGTATTGTTACATAGATGCTGTCGTAGACGATTATACGACTGGTTGAAAGCCGCTCCGTACGAGTCGCGGGTGTCTGACGACGATGACGAGGATTGGGATGCATCGAATGGTATTTATTTATTCATCCAAAACAATATCAATTAGGTAGGATAACATAATAGCAACTCTTACATTAAACTTATGTCTACAACATAATAGCAACTTATTCAGTAAATCTCGTTTTATCAACTAGCATAGTGCAATAGGTCAATTGAAGTCTTTATGGTATATTATTATTTACATTTATAAAATTACTCTATTTCTATTTTGAAACAAAATATAGTCCATATTAGTTGCTGATAACATACCGGGCCTGTTTATGACAGAATTAAAAATATGGTAAAATATATATTTTTTGTTTCATTCCTATAAAACAAAAAAATATAAACCAAAAACTCGCTTGGTTGGTTATATTGTTAATATAGATTTGTATAACGTTGTATGCGGTGTGGGTGCGCAGGTCTGCGCGTGCTGTCGATCGCGTACGTGCCGGACCGGCAGCACTCGGCCTTCGCGTGCGTGGTGGCGGCCGGCGGGGAGGTGGCCGACCACCTGCGCCTGCCGCACCTGCTGTACCGCCGCAACGCCTGGGACGCGCTCGAGCGGCGCAACAAGGAGGCCGACATGACCGCCTTGCGACGGTAACGAGACAACGGCTCGCTGCTCACTGCTCACTGCTCACTGCTCACTGCTCACTCAGTGCGAGGTGGCCGACCACCTGCGCCTGCCGCACCTGCTGTACCGCCGCAACGCCTGGGACGCGCTCGAGCGGCGCAACAAGGAGGCCGACATGACCGCCTTGCGACGGTAACGAGACAACGGCTCGCTGCTCACTGCTCACTGCTCACTGCTCACTGCTCACTCAGTGCGAGGTGGCCGACCACCTGCGCCTGCCGCACCTGCTGTACCGCCGCAACGCCTGGGACGCGCTCGAGCGGCGCAACAAGGAGGCCGACATGACCGCCTTGCGACGGTAACGAGACCGCGGCTCGCTGCTCACTGCTCACTGCTCACTGCTCACTCAGTGCGAGGTGGCCGACCACCTGCGCCTGCCGCACCTGCTGTACCGCCGCAACGCCTGGGACGCGCTCGAGCGGCGCAACAAGGAGGCCGACATGACCGCCTTGCGACGGTAACGAGACCGCGGCTCGCTGCTCACTGCTCACTGCTCACTGCTCACTCAGTGCGAGGTGGCCGACCACCTGCGCCTGCCGCACCTGCTGTACCGCCGCAACGCCTGGGACGCGCTCGAGCGGCGCAACAAGGAGGCCGACATGACCGCCTTGCGACGGTAACGAGACCGCGGCTCGCTGCTCACTGCTCACTGCTCACTGCTCACTCAGTGCGAGGTGGCCGACCACCTGCGCCTGCCGCACCTGCTGTACCGCCGCAACGCCTGGGACGCGCTCGAGCGGCGCAACAAGGAGGCCGACATGACCGCCCTGCGACGGTAACGAGACCGCGGCTCGCTGCTCACTGCTCACTCAGTGCGAGGTGGCCGACCACCTGCGCCTGCCGCACCTGCTGTACCGCCGCAACGCCTGGGACGCGCTCGAGCGGCGCAACAAGGAGGCCGACATGACCGCCCTGCGACGGTAACGAAACCGCTGCTCGCTGCTCACTGCTCACTCAGTGCGGCGATACCAGGAGCATACGTAAAATACACTATTTTACATGTGCCTGGTCTGTCGTGGCGTTCTACATTTTTGTCCGTTTTACGAACACACTGTAAGAGCCGTAAAATACTCGATTGAGTCTCGTACTAATAAGCTGGTACAATCAATATGGAGATGGCTTTCCACTTGCTACATATAATAATGTTACCAACCATTTGCTCATAGACAAAAATATTGATTGCTTAATAAAAAAATCTAATTACTTTATCCGCAGGTTTATATTACATAAGAAACCTCACGTGATCGTGATTGGCGGGGAGTCTCGCGAAGCGCTCAACGTAAAGGCGGACGTAGCTGAATGTGTGCAACAATTGGTGGAGGATGAACAGTTTCCCAGGATACCTATAGAGATAGCAGATAATCACATAAGCAAGATATACAGCAATAGTATACGCGGACGGGTATGTCTTGTGTTTTACCATAATTTTTTATCAAGTGTATTTTAGACATATCTTAAATGGTTTATTTTATTTCCCTCAAAGCAATAAGATATTTTAAAAAGTAGCTTATTTCTTTCAACATTTGCTTGCCCAAATTATTTATTAAAATACTGGCTACTACGCCTCAGTTGTTGACTGAGGTTATTTATGGCACTGTTTAGAAAATAATGTACAAATTTGTATTTTTTTTTAGAAATTGACAAGAAAAGACTAGGTGACTTAATAAACTATATGTAATTGTAATATTGACTTAATTGCAATTGAATTGTTACAGAATGATTTTAGAGAGTACCCAGATATTCTACGGCAGGCAATATGTCAAGGTCGTCTATTACAAGATCCGTTGATGGAAATTTCACAACTGTGTGGCCCAGATGAGGAAATTTTATGTCTCCGCTATCACCCATTGCAGGATCAAATTACTAAAGAGGATCTACTGGAAGGTATTGAACTAGAATTCGTGAATCGGGTGAACGAAGTAGGTGTAGATATGAATGAGGCTATCTTGACTGGTCGCGGCACAGAGCTCTTGCAGTTCGTATGTGGTTTAGGGCCAAGAAAGGCTCAGGCCCTAATAAAGCTCTTTAAACAGACCAATCAAAAACTTGAAAACAGAACACAGTTGGTGACTGTTTGTCATATGGGCCCTAAAGTGTTTATAAATTGCTCTGGATTTATAAAAATCGATACGAGCAGTCTTGGTGATAGTACTGAGGCATATATAGAAGTATTAGATGGGTCGAGAGTTCATCCGGAGACTTACGAATGGGCACGAAAGATGGCCGTTGATGCTTTGGAGTATGAAGACGAAGATGCGAACCCTGCTGGCGCTGTGGAGGAGATTTTAGAGGCGCCAGAGAGATTAAAAGATCTCGATCTGGATGCATTTGCGGAAGAGTTAGAGCGCCAAGGATTCGGCAACAAGTGTATAACCCTGTATGATATTAGAGCTGAATTGAATTCTAGATACAAAGATCTAAGAGTTCCATATCGCTCACCGACTCCGGAAGAGATGTTCGATATACTAACTAAAGAGTCTCCAGAAACTTTCTATGTAGGGAAGATGGTGTTAGCCACTGTCTTCGGCATTACACACAGAAAGCCCCAAAGAGAGATGCTGGATCAGGCCAACCCTGTAAGAAATGATGAGACTGGTTTATGGGAATGTCCTTTCTGTCACAAGAATGATTTTCCTGAACTTTCAGAGGTAAGTAGTAATAGTAATAGTAGTAATAGTAATTACTAAATGTTATCCATAAGAAATTTTGCTTTTTTATGTTGCTGTGTATCATAGATGTTAGAGCACATAAAGTTGGACCAAACAATTGCAGTTTCATTGCATGGGGTGTAATTGTTTTGTGTGAAAAAAATTACTGGCTATAGTTTGGTAGTTAGATATTTTAAACTGCTGCCCCATCCTGAATCCAAGGCTCGCTACTCCCATAAGTGAATCCTGTTTGTCAATTAATGGTTGTAAAGCAATGGGCCAATATGAATACAATTGAGTGTTGTAATAATTTCTTCAAATATTTGATGGTATATTAGGCCTGACTGGTTATTAGGGATGACTGGTTATTTCGCCAAGCAGAACTAGAAACGCCATTAGACATCCTGTGTGTTGTATTGTAGTCTACTAATGCATAAACGAAATATCTTCTTTGTAAAGGATACATTCTATCCTGAGGAGATAAAAGTCATCGCACCCATGAATATCTTTCAATTCTTGTCCCTGACGCCTCTAGGTACTTCGAAAAAAGGCGAGCATAATAGATCTACGCAGGTCGCAGTCTTACAGGTCTTAGCACCTGACAATAGCCCAAAACTTTGAATAAAATAAATACTGGTGACAGGTGTGGAACCACTTCGACGCAGGCGCGTGTCCGGGCCAGGCCACGGGCGTGCGCGTGAGGCTGGACAACGGACTGTCCGGGTACATACACATCAAGAACCTGTCCGACCGCCACGTGGCCGACCCCACCGAGCGCGTGCGTATCGGACAGACCGTGCACTGCCGCATTCTCAAGATCGACGTCGAGAGGTTCTCCGTCGACTGCTCCTCCAAGTCTTCAGATCTCCTGGATAAGAATAAGGAGTGGAGGTGGGTCGTTAACTCGTTACATATAAGCGGTCATATAAGGATACTATAAATCCTCTCTTTATAAAGAAGAATCCACATGATCTAATGGAAGTCACTTACAAAAATTTGGAAATTCGAAATGTCTAATTCGTTTCATATCTTATTTATATAATAACGTACAGAAGTAAGAATAATTTATTATATTGTTGCAGACCTCAGAAAGATCCATATTACGATCAAGAATCAGAAGATAAGGATGTACGTAAAGACACAGAGGCAAAGCAGACAAAGGAGCGCATGCAATATGTGAAGCGTGTGATCGTGCACCCCGCCTTCCATAATATCTCGTTCGCTGAAGCTGAAAAGCTAATGGAGAATATGGCCCAAGGCGAGGTCATCGTCCGTCCTAGCAGTAAGGTAATAAATAATCTCCTTAATCATAACTTTTAGACTATTAGTGTTTTGTCCGTTTCTTTCTAATGAAGAAAATGGCCCGAAAGAAAGGATAGAACAACTCAAGCTTCAATAGGTTTATCACACGCTTAACGTTTTTATAGCTAGGTAAGTTCATATCTAATTATATCGTAGCTACAATTGGTAATTGGCACTAGGCATGTCTAATTATTGAAAAAACGAACAACTTCAATTTAAATGATCAACCATTATTATCTTTACTATTTATCATTATAGGGTTCTGATCATCTCACTGTGACTTGGAAAGTGGCCGATGGTATATGTCAACATATCGACGTACGCGAGGAAGGCAAAGAAAATGTGTTCTCATTAGGTTTGTAATATTGATTTATGCTCTTATTACCGTCGATTGTCTTAAAATTTTTATGTTTAAGAGTTTGCAATTAAAATTTATTATTTTATGACAGGTCGAAGTCTATGGATTCAAGGATCTGAATTCGAAGATCTTGATGAAATTATTGCACGTCACGTGACCCCCATGGCGGGCCACGCTCGAGATCTTATCGCCTACAAGTACTACAAACCACTAGGCGGCATGAGAGATAAAGCCGAAGAGATACTGAAAGAGGAAAAAGCTAAAAATCCAAACAAAATTCACTACGTCATTTCAGCTGCCAAAAATCACCCAGGGAGATTCCTACTCTCTTATCTACCTAGAAGTCGATGTACGCACGAGTATGTATCTGTGATGCCAGACGGTTATAAATTTAGACAAAGAATGTTCGATTCCCTCGGGAGCTTATTGAAATGGTTCAAAGAGCACTTCAGAGATCCGCCGCCCAGCGGTACTCCCGTGCAGCGAACGCCGGCGCTGAGGACCCCACACGGTGGAATGACGTCCACCATGTACCACACGCCGGCGGCCCACACTCCGGCCTTCCACACGCCGGCGCACACGCCCGGACCCGGCGCCGGATACATCAACACGCCCTACACTCCATCCGCTCAAACTCCATACATGACGCCGTTCGCGACGACGCCCCGCCAGCCGGACTTCCTCACCCCCATCGTGCCGAGGCACAAGCCTGTGCAGATCCCGTACACGGAGCCGGCGGACTGGCAGAAGGCGGCCGAGGATTGGGTGAGGCACAGAACGTTACGCGATACGCCGTCGACGCCGCGCAGTGACGCGATGTCGACCCCGCGGCCGTCGACGCGCACCCCGCGGCCGGACAGCCGGCCGTCCCGGCACGAGTCCCGGTCCGGCCGGCACGACAGTCGCCACGAGTCGAGCCGGACGCCGCGGCCGGGCTCGGGCCGGTCGTCGCGCGCGCAGTCGGTCCGGTCCACGCCGCACACCAACACGTCGCCGCGATCCATGTCGCTCGGGGACGCCACGCCCCTCTACGACGAGAATTAGAAAGACTGACGGCTAGCGTAAAGGATGTTGTATTTTATTTTTGTACCGCCTTAGACTCGACGGCGTTCGATTGGCGACTCGTAACTGCTACGCTCTGTTCACTTGGTATATTTAGTAATTAATCATGAAAGAATTGTTTACCTAAATAACGCGTAAAATAAATGTGGAATAAAAAGGTTTTATGGTAAATCGATCATGTCGTTAGTATTATATATTTAATGTCTTATTTTAAAACGTGTATATACGACGGAAATTTACAAAGATTGTAACAAACTTGTATTGTATCTGTCACTGAGTATGCCAAGAGGAAATGAACAGAAAACAAGCGCGCTTTCTGAAGAGTTCGTGTAAGCATAGCTTAATATAAATTCCAATGTTAATGTATGGAGTGGTTTATTTAGTCTAGTGACGTATATTACCAATTTTGCATGCATTCATTTTCATCAATATCAAATGGAGCATAAGTATCGCCCATTTTTATCTCCGGTGTTTGATACATGGCGTCATAATTAGAACAATTAAAACGAAATGATTAGTAGATAGTCGGAAACTTATTATTATTAATTACACATATAACAACATTTTATTTTTAACAACTGCGTAAGTATATTGAAAGGGAATAAAGATATTTCGCAATGTTTATGGTAACTATTACAATAGGTTTATGTAATACAATATTTACTTTCCGTTACATAAAATTTCACTTCAGTTTATATATTTTTAGATATTTAATTATCTAAATTACACTTATACAGTATTTATATTTTGACGGAACTAGTTGATTGTCCATAATTGATATTATCAAATAATCAGAGTTTCATAAAATTTATTATTTTGTTTTTATTTGAGACTCTAAGATAGGTGAATTTAATGGTTTATATTTTCCTAAGGAATTAAAGTGTAGATACCTGCTACCTAAGATATTTTAATTATAATAATAAAATCATAGTTATTGTGATTATGAATAATTCTATAAAAAGCGCCTTTACGATGTACGCAGTACTATGAATAAATATGTCCTATTATTAAACGGCCAAATATTTTTAAATTACAGTTTCTTATATTGTTTCCATTTTTTTTGTATTTTTTTCAAAACATACACTTCTGTATGTAACTATTATGAAACCCAAAAAGCTTTGTTTTAACTATGTTATATTTTCTCTGTCTCTCTCCTTTATTAATGACGAGTTGAGACTTGTACCTATCTTCTATTATAATGAACTGTTTTTTTCATATATTTAGTGGAAAGACTATGGTTATATGGAAATGCAGCGACAGTACTCATGGAAATGAAACAATTTTGAATAACCTATTGGTGAAAATTTTCTATACTTTTATATAAGCCGCGCCTTAAAAAAAGGAAGGTAAGTCCACTAAGATGTTACGCCAGATGGGAAACGGTTTCCGAAGCTTATGGATGCCTACAAGATGGAAATGGTACGAAAGCATGTAAGCGAACTGCAAATTGATCGTTGTACTCGATTTCATGAATACTATCGCAAATTATCCGTTTTATTTATATTAAATCTCATTAGAACGGCGACAGGCGCATAAAAAAAAGATAATAACGATAAAATTTAATATGGTTGTATTGTTGTGTTATTGCAAGAATTGTCGCTTTAGTGATGACGGCGACAAAGATTTTGTATTTAATTTTTTAAACTGACAAATACAGAATATGCCTTAGGGATGGCTATTGAAGTAATCCGGTTGTGTAGAGTATATTCATAGCCATTCTTTTTAATACACTACAATAAATATGATGACAATCTGATGTGATGTTTTATTTTATTTTATTATAAGAATTGTGGACGACGCGGCGACGGTGGTAGATTGTTTCCAGGGGGAACAGCGTGGAGGTCAACCTGATATAGTACATTGCTAGCAACGGGGTTATTTGTCATATTACCAATAATCCCCTTCCCCCTTATTCAGTATAAGGTACTTTTTTATACATGATAATTGAATTGTGCACTCGTCAGCGCTAATTTACGCTGGTTAGGTACCAGTGGAGTATGATGAGTATGAGTTGAGGTCAGTGAGAGGTGAGAGTCCTGGTGAATTTATGATGATGGGCTAACTTCATATATCCATCATCATAAATTCACAAGGACGTTAAGGTTTCAAGGGAAAACCGCGTAGCAAGTGGCTGATCTTGTGATACCTCTGCGTGGCCTTTCCTTTACTGGTGGTATGCATGACCCTTTTAATGTACCCTTTTAATTTTTAATCCAATATAAGATTAAAATATGAAACAATATCTACACAAATTGCATTGTGGATCTCGTTTCTACAAAACAATTGTGATAATGATTTAATTATAATTGTCTACCATAATTATTCAGTATGATTCTATATTTGTAAGTCTAGATACCATTATCAAAGCGCATCTTGTTGAGTATAATCGGTAGCCTTGCATGCATTAAGATCTTTTTGTTTTCAGTACTCTAGGTCATTAGTTCGGCATTGAAATTATTGATAATGATCAGATAATCGACAGTTGTACTTAATTTAAGTAGAAGTCATATTTTTTACACCCTACATTCTATTTTGAGTAAGATATGATTAAATAATTATGCATTGCGGTCTATTACCTACACGACACGACACGACACGACACTAATATTATAAAGCCTTTATAATAACTAATTTTGACGACCTCTGTGGTCTAGCGGTCTAGCACACCGCTTTACGTCCGATGGTCGCGGGTTCGATTCCTCGCACGGTACGAACATTTGTATTCATGAGTATGATTGTCTGTATCGGTCTGGGTGTTTTCTATGTATAATATGTATGTATTTACGAAAAAAAATATATCTATGTACTTGTATCAGTTATCTAGTAACACAAGAAATAGAAATAGAAATAATCTTTATTAAAATAAACTCATTACAAGCACTTTTGAATAGTCATATTTTGATTTTACCACTCATTCGGAATGCAGATTCATCACAAGAAGAATGAGCAAGAAACTTGTGTGTTGCTCTTTTTAATAGATGTTTTTTTATATAAATAATTCAGTATAACAAGTAAGATGCATGCGATAATCAACATAGAAATCGCTACGCACTCATTATTAGTGTAATCAGATAACATTGTCAGTGCTATGGATTTAAGATTTTTCTATAAAAACATTATTATCGTTAACGAATTCTTCAATTTAATGGTAAGCTATTTTGCAAAGGAAGTGTTTTATTTGACATTTAAATCTTTTTTTCTAGCAGATTTATAACAGACTCTGGTATTTTATTGTAAAACCTGACGCAATTGCCATAAAACGAATATCTAACTCTAGCCAAACGACATTTAGGTAAAATCAGTTTGTTATTGTTACGTAAGATTTTATTAGTGCAATCACTCTTTTGAAATTGTCTATATTCTTCCTGGCATATTTTCATAAATATATTGAGAAGCAACGGTGAGGATATTTGATTCCTTAAAGCTTTAGATAGCTTAACTTGGGACTAGACGGCGCTGTGTGAATTGTCCTGAGATTATTATTATTATTTGTGAGGATATTGTCCTTCTGTTATGCAAAAAATACTAGTCAGATTGAATTAAAATCTGGTAGACAGATAGATCGTATTATAGATTAGCACACAGGCTACTTTTTATTCAAATTCACACAGGCGACTCCAATAGACACAGATAGTTTCAAATAATTCGTAACTCGTATCAACGATTATGACAGATATCATCTTCATAACTGATAACAGTCAAGATTAAAGGCTTAATTAAGGCTGGCAAGCAATGACCTTGATATGTGAAGAGGAATGTTCTTACCTATGTCACATGCACGTGTACATATCTACAGTCAGGGTCATGTAGTTAGCGTCTAAATTGGTCAACTTTAAAAAAATACAAATTCTATTTCATGTACTTACTCAGGTTGATCCAGGTGGCGACTTTAAGACCTTCCTGGAATCTGAATCTCTCAGGAAAATAATAACTTTCCGATTGATTATAATAAAGGATTTGTATGTTTATAATTTTGAGTTAGCACTACTCTGACGATCAGACAAAAATAGTACCTAAATGGATGAAAAATAAATAAATTTCGACATTGATAATTACATTAAAATATGACCACACTGGGTGATTTCCAGTGTTAATACACTTCAAATCATCCAACCAAATTTGAAGTTAAATCTTTACTGATCTATTCAAGCAACAAGTTTTACTATAGAACATTTTTCGACAATCTTAAAAATAAAAAACGTCATTACATTCCTGTAATGTTGTTTTTGATGTTTTTTAAAAGTTTAGCATATTGTGTTCTTTCTGTTAGTAAAAAAAAACATGTCAGGTACAAAATAGAATATAGTTGTTTTTCAAAAGTTTCCGTAAGTAAATATGATTTAAATGATTATAGAAGATATAGGTACCTACGTTAATTTTCTAACGAGAGAAATAAAAATAGTAATTATTACATAGGTAGGCTCTTATGATAATTATTTGTTTAAGTAAGTATTTTTTATTTCACATATTATTTTACTATTCCTTATTATAATAATGTGTGCAACTTGCTATATCAACTTCTTTCTGAACTTTTATCCTAAACATTGTATTTTCTTACTAATCATTTAGAGGGTAGAATTATTAAGAAATTTAGAAAAAAAAATTCGATGTATTTTACTAACGCGACGTTGAAAGATAGTTGCTTTGAATAAGACTGTTATGTTGTGTGTGGCACATGTGGCATCATCATTAACTGCTATAGTGAACATATGTAACAAGAAGAAATGAAAATTTCTTCTTGGTATCGATATAGGATACTTCTATTATGCTAATTTAATTATTTTAATTCTATACTAATTTCATCACGATAATAGTTGGGTTGTATGTAGAAAAAATGATAAAATATTTATTTGCCTGGACACTGTTATAGCACTTATAGCTAACACGAGAGCGTAGAATCCACATAATTCGACATTCAATTAAAGGAGGTGGTTGCCCTCTTTATCTCTCTACCTTTAATTGTGTAGGTTTTTCCTAAATATATTTTAATTTATACATCAATTATACAGTTAGTTTCTTTTGCCATTAACAACAATGAATACTTCTTTACTATATGTACCTAATGCACGCTATCATGCGACCACTAAGTGGCTAAGAAAATAATCACATTGTGCCTCCTTCGTTTAATTCTACGCTCTCGTGTTTGTTCAATAAACCTACTTGGTTGTCGAACTGAAAGTGATAACAATTGCCATAAACTATTATTGTGGAGAGTTAATTTTCCACAATATAAGGGGAACACAAATCTGTTACAGTACCTGTTAGAAACTGAACTAGTTTCTTGTCAGTTCTTCAATAATCGTATCTAATAATAATCTCGGGACAATTCACTAGGATCCATCTAAACCCAAGATAAGCCAGCTAAAGCTTGTGTTATGGGTACTAGATATTTGATACAATTACATGGATATTTTTTTTCTTAAATACATACCTACATATTCGTAATACGCTGAAATACAAATATTTTTTTATCTTATAGTATGTACTCGAACCAACACAAATGCGTACCAATTTGTATATTTAATAATAATATCCCTCAACTATTTACACAATGTTGACTAGTCCCATGCTAAGCAGAGTCTATGGGTGTTGTAAGTAACTAGGTAACTGATATAAATACATAGACATATTTTTGTTGTAAATACATACATATTATACAGTAATCATCCAGACTGATATAAACAATCATACTCATGAATACAAATTTTTGTGCCGTGCGAAGAATCGAACTCGCGACAATCGGAAGTAAGGCGACATGCTCTAGCTACTACTGCTCGACCGCCAAGGCCGTCGAAGTCAAAGAATAAAAATATGAACCCATTATTAATACAAATAACACTTAGTATTAAAGAATAAGGTACAAAGAAAGGGTATCTAATGTACTACTTTGAACTCTAATGACAAAAAATAAACTCCCTTGCATTGTCTGTTTGTAAATTTGCGATAATCTTAAAAACTAGCTAGTGAACGGATTTTTACCTGTTTTTCATTATATTATACTAATATATAGGAACTTTAGGATTTGTGTAAATTGAACTTCAAATACCAGTGTAAA